TTTGTCGGCCCTCCACCCGTCCTGTATCGCCTGCAGTCAGCAGCAGAGCAGGAGCCGGGGCCACAAAACGTCCATCATGTCGACAAATTGACTCAATCAGCCTCATCCAGGAGCTTTAGCCCCTCGCCGCTTTGAAATCCAACACTGTTGACGCTTCAGCGGAGTGTTTCCTGGAGAGGAGAAGGAAAAAGTGGAGGAGACGAGGAGCCTCATGATCTCTGGCTGTGACAGAGTGAGACTTACCGTGAGTGTTTTCCAGTTCAAGTCAAAACAGTTATGAGTTTTTGCCATTTTTGAAGGATTGAGAAAGCTCTCGGCATCATTTCTGCATCAAGATCTGCTGGTTGTCTCTTTATTTTTTGTCTTGTGGGTGTTTTTTTGAGTCAAAGAGTCACACTCGGCTGACACTGAAACATGCTGCTTTAGTTGCAGGGGGCCTCAGAGTGGAGGCTGTGCAGAGGTGAAGCTGAGGTGATTTATCAAACACTTCAGTTCAAACACAGAGAGAGAGAAAAAGAGAGGAAGAAGAGGAGAGGATGAAGAGGAAGACACACCTATTTAGACAGTGTGAGGAGGACAAGGAGAAGCAGAAACCACCTACTGAGTGAGTCCACACATGGCTGCCTGAGGGAACCATTACTTTTTATCGTTTCACTGCCAGAATCATGGTAAAAATTACAAGACCTGAATTTTCCCGAAGTCACTTTTGAAGCTGAGTGTTAATAAATTATTGGTGTAGTGTCAGAAAATCATTAGAGTGGCTTTATTTTTAAAATCTCACATGGCAAAGAGTGTTTTGGTAAAATCTTAGAAAGCCTCAAAGTTTAATGATCAGGATCAAATATTTCTCTCTGGTCGAGTTTGTTAAAAAAGACTCCTTAAGACTCTGGACGGTCAAGCTGCTGGGTCACACCGCCCTCTTGTGGCGGATCACAAACTGTACTTTTCAGGGACTGTTACAGATCCACCGCTCATTTGTTTATTTGTTCATTTCATTCAGTGAGGTTACACAAGAGTGGTTGCAAATCTTTTATATGTTTATTTTAAACTTAATTTTAAAGAAAGAAAAAAAAAGAAAAAAAAAACTTTTTCTTCATAATTCTGTACAATAACTAAAATAAGGCCAAATGAAGCTGTTTTAGTGAGTTTTTGTCCGGCGCATATTTAACCTTGTGTAGCACAGGGATGTTTTTGGGTGTTTTAGACTGGATGTATCTTCAGTGAGATTTCCATGAGAGCTTTTGGTCTGTTGTCACACACAGACTGTATATACTATGGACAACCTGGTTCCGCCTTCCGCCTGTATACGGATTTGAAGCCAAAAAGCTCTCGGTAATTCTGGGTTTTTCTCCACTTCCAGTAGCAATGCGCGCAATCGCTGAGAGTCCCTGTGATGATGCTCGGGTAAAACAGCGTATCCCCCCGGGTGAGCTATGCAATCCCTGAATGCCCATAGGCTGTATCAGGTGTCAATCATAGAAAACATGAACCCCCCAATAACTTTAAAAAAACGGAGCTGTACAGAAAAAAGAGGACTTGGGCACAAACCAGTCTTACTGTAACTACACGTCAACATCACAACCAGGGGGAGAAAAAATTACATTCTGTGTAATAAATTTCTAAAGTTTGTCCACAGTCCCATAAGCTTTGCTGGCGGAGGCGGGATTTATGACCTGTACTGCAGCCCATCAACAGAGGGTGCTGTTCTCGGAGTGGCTTCACCCCGCGAGGAGGCAGACTCTGTCCATCTTATATACAGTCTATGTTGTCACACCAACAACTTTGATTTCTTCCACCATTTCAGAGTCTGTACCATCAACTTATAATCTGGTCTGAACAGTCTTACTTTTATATTTTTTTAAATCTACTTTGTTTCACTGATGTCCTGGGTAAGTTTGTTTGTGTTGAACCATTATTGTGTGTGTGTTTAAGTTTTTACCCACAACAGTAAACAGTTGTGTCGTCTGTAAAAAAGCACAGAGTTAAGAATAAATTAGTGACGTATGGACATTAGGTTTCTGCAACATTTCTGTATCTGCAAGCTTGCAGCAGACATGCAGCAAAATGGGCAAAATAAAAGCAGAATACAAACAGAAGGCTTTGTCTGTGTCTGTATGCATGTCTAATATAGAGCATCAATGAGCCTTAAAGGGATATTCCAGTGTAAATTTAAGTTAGAGTCAAACCCACCGTAACACCGAGTTAAACCCCCCCTCCAGAGATGAATGTTGCCGACTGCTTACTTCTCTAGTTATACCAACTTTAGTAACGACCGCAGGATAGCAATACACAGCGGTCTACACTCACCGGCCACTTTATTAGGTACACCTGTCCAACTGCTTGTTAACACTTAATTTCTAATCAGCCAATCACATGGCGGCAACTTAGTGCATTTAGGCATGTAGACATGGTCAAGACAATCTCCTGCAGTTCAAACCGAGCATCAGTATGGGGAAGAAAGGTGACTTGAGTGACTTTGAACGTGGCATGGTTGTTGGTGCCAGAAGGGCTGGTCTGAGTATTTCAGAAACTGCTGATCTACTGGGATTTTCACGCACAACCATCTCTAGGGTTTACAGAGAATGGTCCGAAAAAGAAAAAATATCCAGTGAGCGGCAGTTCTGTGGGCGGAAATGCCTTGTTGATGCCAGAGGTCAGAGGAGAATGGCCAGACTGGTTCGAGCTGATAGAAAGGCAACATTAGCTACGTTTACATAGAGCCAAATATTCCGAATATAATCGGATTAGAAGCCCAATCGGAATGAAAATGCTCCATATAAACACCTCATTCGGAATAAACAGGCCCATTCCGAATGGAATTTCATTCCGATTCACAGGGGTAGAATATTCCTTTTCCCATTCCGATTAAAAGCAAAATCCTGTCATGTAAACGGTGAATCGGAAAGTTGTCAGGCTGGGTTCTGTCTGCGCATGCTCTGTCCTGATGTAAACAAGCAGTGACGTATGACTCACATGGTGGGACATCACGTGACAACATCACGTGATGTTTGAAGGTATCACGTGTCTGTAAATAGCTGTTCCGATTGAATGCCGTGGCACATGTAAACACCAGATCAGAATAGATCGCTTCCATGTAAACAGTTCGCCTGGGAGCTTCAATCGGAATGATTATAATCCGAATGAGAAAAAAGTCTGCATGTAAACGTGGCTAGTGACTCAAATAACCACCCGTTACAACCAAGGTAGGCAGGAGAGCATCTCTGAACGCACAGTACGTCGAACTTTGAGGCAGATGGGCTACAGCAGCAGAAGACCACGCCGGGTGCCACTCCTTTCAGCTAAGAACAGGAAACTGAGGCTACAATTTGCACAAGCTCATCGAAATTGGACAATAGAAGATTGGAAAAACGTTGCCTGGTCTGATGAGTCTCGATTTCTGCTGCGACATTCGGATGGTAGGGTCAGAATTTGGCGTCAACAACATGAAAGCATGGATCCATCCTGCCTTGTATCAACGGTTCAGGCTGGTGGTGGTGGTGTCATGGTGTGGGGAATATTTTCTTGGCACTCTTTGGGCCCCTTGGTACCAATTGAGCATCGTTGCAACGCCACAGCCTACCTGAGTATTGTTGCTGACCATGTCCATCCCTTTATGACCACAATGTACCCAACTTCTGATGGCTACTTTCAGCAGGATAATGCGCCATGTCATAAAGCTGGAATCATCTCAGACTGGTTTCTTGAACATGACAATGAGTTCACTGTACTCAAATGGCCTCCACAGTCACCAGATCTCAATCCAATAGAGCATCTTTGGGATGTGGTGGAACGGGAGATTCGCATCATGGATGTGCAGCCGACAAATCTGCGGCAACTGTGTGATGCCATCATGTCAATATGGACCAAGCTCTCTGAGGAATGCTTCCAGCACCTTGTTGAATCTATGCCACGAAGAATTGAGGCAGTTCTGAAGGCAAAAGGGGGTCCAACCCGTTACTAGCATGGTGTACCTAATAAAGTGGCCGGTGAGTGTATGTTTCCATGTGCAAACCTCAACCAAAACGCCACTCTATAGCCACAAATAATGCTCAGAACAGCACCTAACTTCATCAACAGGACATATACTGTAGACTCCCAGTGACCGCCTTTTGCACCAAACATTTCAACGACTCGATTTGTTGCTGTAAAAAATATGTTTTGTACCAAATATTCTGCAACAATTGGAGCAGAAATGTGAGCGTGTGTCACAGTTTGAATCTGTGACTTGTAAAATAGGATTTGTGCACCTATAATTAAGAATTTGTGAATGTGTAAATTTTGTGTTGTACTTGTGGGAAAAAAAAAACAAGTACACACAAAAAATGTACAAGTACACAACTCATAGAGTGCGGATTTCACATTTACTAATACACATACACAATCATTGTACACAACTACAAATTACATGTTACAGATGAACAAACCCTTTGCACCAAAAATACCTTCATATATCAGCTGGGTTTCTGACTGGTACCAGGAGGAGGTGCCACATCACTCCCATCTTGGCTTCTCCTCATTGGCTTTTGGTTTCACTTTAAAGTTGTGCTTTCTGTTCCCCTTCCTCCCTTTGCCCTTTCTGTTTTGCTGTTTCAGCTCTCGCCTCAAACTTATTTTTTCATTCGTGTTTGATTCCGTCTTTCTTTCTTTGGTATTTCTTTGTTCTTTTTTTTGGCACCGTGTCCTTTATGTAACTTTATGCTACTTGGTTCAGCTTCGGCTATTTTTAAATTATTTTAATTGATTTACATAACAACAGTAAGAATCATTTCTTCTTTTCAGTGGGGGATTTACAGTTATCTATCTTTCCATCCATGTTAGTGCAAAGAGGAAGGAAGCTGGTGTGGCTCTGAACAGTTTTATGTTCGATGAGCATGAGTTGCCCGAGCACAGAAAAAAGTGTGACGTTAAACACGTACTGTCTTTTTATAAAGTGAGACATTTACAGTGACAGTGGCAGAGTTGTTCCTGATCGTGATTGAACAGAGCAAACAGAAGCAGCGATGAGTCTGACAGCAGCGATGAGAGCATATGTTGTCTTCCTTCTCCTCATACAAGGTAATCGGTTTTATTTATTTTCTTTACACCTTTAAACTCACTGGAAGTCGTTGTTTTGAACTGCAGACAAAATATGTCGTGTGTAATGTTTTACTGTCTTTACAGCATCAAAAATTCACTCTTCCTGTAAACTTATGTGCTTACAAGATGTTCAGAAAATACGTTTTCCAGAAAATATTCAGCTTTAAGTGAACTGTTTGATATGAAACTGATCATTATGCAATCTTAGCTTCAGTCAGAGTCTAATTTTCATAATTCGAACAAGAAACACAACATTAACACAACATGCAATCGTTTTTATTGATCTAATACCAATAACCGTCAGAAATGAGTTCAAACTGTTAACATTTCTACTTTGAACAAATTGCAGATATTTTTCAGACAACACAGCACCTTTTTAATGTCTTTCAGCTCCTTGTTTTGGTTTTTCTACATTCAAACCATGCTGGTTGGTTAGCAGAGGTGAAGAGCTTCCTTAAATGTTTCGTGGAAAGTTTTTAGCGGGTTATGAAGCTGACTGCTGTCTCTGCAGACAGTCAATGTACTTTCTTTTAATGCCTGAAATTTTGGTGTGAAGTAGCTGTCAGTCCAAGTGATTTACAGCTCTGTTTAGTCTTTGTACTTCAAACAGCAAATGGTGAGAAATATCAATCAGTCAATCTTTATTTATTCACTTAGCAAGTGTTATCCAAGGACGCTCAACAATGAAGCTAGTCCAGACCAGACTCTGTTTACAAAGACCTAATGAATAGGTGGGATCAGACCTCAGTGTTTCCCCTATAGTGCACCCAACAAGATCCCAACCCTGAAATTCAAGTTGCAGATTAATGTTAAATTTTTATTTTAATCAAAACGGCCTGTAAAATATAATTTGCTTGATTTCAGACTCTAAAGCTCACAATCGTTTCATTACTTTCAGGAAAAATGTATCTCTCCACTCCTCTGCGCTGGGCCCTCCACTCGCTCCTCTCTCTATCTTACAACATACACACATGCGGATATGTCGCGCTGCGTAGTTCAGAGGCCACACCCACTGATTCTGGTGTTCTAGCTGGAGTGCTTGCTGCCCATACTCTGCCAGTTTTGCGAAGAATGGTTTTGACAACCCAGGGTTCTGTCCATCGTGTTTGCCGCCAACAAAACAATAAAAAAACATTCCGCAGCCCAACTGAAATATCCACATTCTTCAACTTATTGATGCGAGCGCTGCACATTCTAATGTGGATGCTAGCTTTAGCATGTCTTCCAGCCCTGAAAACAGAGCTGGCTCATCTCCTGCCACCCATACGTCATACGGGGTGGTATATGTCTACGTCATATGCCACCAAAATGCAAAATGGAAATGTTCAAGCTAAAATGTTGAAGAGTACAACTTGCTAATACATTTAAATTTGAGGGGTATTATTAGGTGGATAGATGTTCAGAAAAGTGACGTTTTTCAAAGTACTACAGAGCTCTGAGGCTGAAACATGTCGAATGTTCATGCTAAAATCTCTCCTGTGCACTGACAACCGTTTGCAGACTTTGATGCAAGCCCAAACTGCAGCTGTTAATTTCCTCTGCTAATACCAGTATTTCCTGTTGCTATACTCTGAACAGTGAATCTTGCGTCAAGAAGAGCCAATAATAATTGTGGTTACATGTACAGTAAAACCCAAAACCAAGAGGAAGAAATCCATCTCATTCAGGAACTTTTTCTATGTCTTCAACTTCCCCAGAGGTCAGATATAATCAGAGGAATTATTAAAAACATAATTATCCTCCATTTTTGTCTTTCTTCTGTCCGTTATCTTCTTTTCACACTTGTTGCCCACACACACTCTCTCTCAGAAGTTTCCACTCACACCCTGCTGCAGCCTCACCACAGACAGGAAACCGACCAAGCAAAGACGACATCTCTCTGTTCAAGTCTGTTTTACATACAAAGTGTTAGTCTCTAAAGGTTCTCACTGTACCCTCTCTATGTTGTTCTGGTTCAGTGAATTAATAGATGAGATGGAAACATTTGTGCACCTTTGTGTCTCTTTAAAGTAGACCTTAAAAACTCACAGATTTCTATTCCCTTTTTATGAATATGTGCGTACAAATGCAAACCCTTCAGTCACTATCATTCCACTACTGTAGCATCCTTTTTGATTATAGTCTGGCTCTCTGATTGAGGGTCAGGGCCCAAGAGTTGTGCTTTATAAATGAGACCTAGGTCCTTCTCCAGAAACCTGAAGTCTGAAACACTCCCCAGACCGTTCCCAGTCATGTAAACGGGAAGTGGATCAGAATTCTTCTTCCTTGGCTAAAGTAAATGTACTCGGGGTAGGGCTGCATGATTTTGGCCAAAAATAATATCCAGATTTTTTTTCTCTAAAAACTCAATTTTTGATCTTCTATTTAGTGACAACTTTACCAACCTTCACTTTGATAAAAAGTTTTTCCATCGTCTCTCAAAAACGAAACCACTGAAAACGATATAGTGCATGTGCCAAAACTGTGGTGCTGTAACGCGCAGGCGCCATAAAAGAGGTGCTGTGTGTCACATAATCATTTCCAGAGATGCAGATAGACATCCAAACAGAGATGAAATGGTCGTCGTTCACCGATTTATGCACTGTCTGACCCGTTTTCAAAAAGTACCTTTTACAGCCATACCAGTTCAATATGACTGAGTTGTTCCTGTTCAATTTAGCCACGAAATTATCGCCTCTGATTTCAAACGCCATGTTTGTGTACACTGGTGTGTGTGGGAATTGGGGAGCGCTCTGCAGAATGGGGGAGGCTACGGTGGTATGAAGGCGCGAGACATGATAGAGAGGAAAATCAATTTGAGGATTTTAATTTTTTTTAACATTGTCATGATCAAACAATCCGATTATGATTTAAAATCGAGTAATCATGCAGTCCTAATTCAGGATCAGGCTGTACTGCTTGCACCGTGCTGACACCCTCTGAACCCTATCCCTGTCTCTTCCAGAGATTGACCACAGCTCTGTTATGTACAGGTTTGCTCAGATTGTGGTTTCTGGTTGGTCAGAGTCGACCTTAAAAAGGATTTTAGGCTGATTACCAAACGTGAAACCCAAAACTGTTTGGTATGATGACAAAACAAATTACACAGATTGGCTAAAACATAAAAATCTGCTGAATCAGATTAATTTAATTACAATCTCCTGCAACAAAACAACCTGTTACAGTAATCGTACCTTTATCATTGGCAACTTCTCTATGAACAACTCAGTTTCCTGCTGCTGTTTTTAATCTGTGTGTCCTGGTGTGCTCTGTGTTTCAGTGGTTCAGGGTCAGTATAACTGGGGAGTGACTTACACCTCTAGTGATATCTGTGCCCCAGAAGGATCAGCAGTGGTTCTAAGCTGCTCCTACAAACACCCGTCCATGACAAATGGACAACAGTTAACAGTCCAGGAATCTTTCTGGTATAAGGTGAAGTATGGAGCATCTGGAGATCTGATGACAGACTCTGAGTACAGAGGTCGTGTGACTTACAGATGTCAAGAGAAGACCTGCAATCTGACAATCACAGACCTGAGACAGAGTGACTCAGCTCAGTACAAGTTCAGGTTTACCACAAACCAACCTGGTGGGACATATACTGGTTATCCTGGAGTCACTTTGACCGTCACAGGTGAGGTTTTCATCCATATGATAATTATATGAAATCCACGACATAGTGCTGGTGGCATTTCACAGCTGTGTTTTAAATTGTACATCCTGATATCATCACCACTCCAAGTATCAACACATCATCATACACATAGAACCGCCATATCATCATCAGCACCGCTGTCAGCCTCATCACCATCATCACTGTCACCATCTTTAACTCTAAACCACCAACTACTGAGTCATTCCCAAAGGGCCGCGTCAGAAACTGTCTCTGAAGTAGAAGGGGACCGTTGACATCAAAGTGATTGTAACAGTCAGTCTATCACTGGAGATATAGGTGTCCCCTAAAGCCCTGAGTCAGCAGTTTTTCCTCAAAGGTAGAGAGGGACTCTGTAGATCAAATAGAGTTTGGTAAATCATCCCACCACCAAAGGCTGACAGAGGAGAAAAGTCTGGCTGGTGACTTGGAGCCCTGTTGTGATGGGATCATCAAGTACCTTTCATTGGCAGAGAGGGAGTGTAGACCCTAATGAGGGATTTCAGGTAGACAGGACCGTGAAATATGGTTTTGAATGTGATATCAGCTGCAGCAGGAAACCAGTGAAGAGGGTTGAACAGCAGTGACGTGCTGACGGGTTGCTGCGTCCTGGATCATGTGCAAAAGTCTAACTGTGCACACAGGGAGGCCTGCCAGAGGCAGTCATCAATTTGTGATATCAAAAGAGCCCGTATCAGAGGCTGTCAGGTGGGGTCTGACCCTCCTGATGTTGTAGAGGGAGAATCAACAGGACCAAGAAACTGATGCAACATGAACCTTACAGGTCAATTGGACATCAATCATGTCACCCAGATTCAGAGCAGGCCTAAAGGACACAAGTTCATCTGGTCCACCTAGATCCTGACAGGAAGCTCAGTATTGGACAGGTCAAGCTGTAAGTGGTATTCCTTCAACTGAGGCAGGATGAACTTTGGACTGAGACTGTTGTGTTGTCTGGACTGACAGAATGACAGAAAGAGCTGGGTATCATCTGCACAGCAAGGGAAATGAGAAACCATGAGATCTGAGACGGTGATTACAGAGAAACGGAGGGGACTAAGCACTGACCCTTGAGGCACCCCTGTTGTTAAGTAATGCAGTTTAGACACTTCTTAACTCCATGAAAGATCTCAGTGGTAAAACACAAACCACTGGAGGGAAGATCCTGAAGTTTGGTGAGTGTAGAGAGGAGGATTTGGTGGTTCACTGTCTCAAACACAGCAGGCAGATCCAGAAACAATCGAACTGAGGACTGACCTGCAGCTTTCACCAAATTGCAGAGATTCTGTTACCAACAGAGGTGCAGTTTTAGTGGAGGAGCCTCATCTAAAGCCTGACTGATTTAGATCAAACTGCAGTCGTTGTTCATGAGTTTAAAAACCAAATTAAAGACTGTGCACTCAAGAACTTTAGACAGAAAAGGCAGAAGTGAAACTGGCCTGTAATTGTCAACCTGGGCGGGGTTTTTATAAGCAAGTGTTTGAAGACTGAGGGGAGAAAAACAGATGAAAGACAGGAGAGTGTGATTTGGGTGAACATGTCTGGAGTCAGTGGGGCAGTAGTGATGATACTTTTGTGTACTTCCATGTGTTTGTCTACAGTGTCCTGTAAAATATCTAACTGTTCTCTCTTCAGGTCTCCAGGTGAGCAAAGGTTATTCATCTCTGTCTTCCCAGAGCAGTTGTCCTCAACCTTCTCAGCTCTCCTACATCTGGTACAAAAATGGAGAAGAAATTCGAGGAAAAACTTCATACTATTATTCAGACTACTTAAGCTCTTCAGACAGTTATTCCTGTGCTTTACAAGGATATCCGGATTTCCCCTCTCCTCCATTCTGTGAGTTTAATTAAAAATCTGCCTGACAGCATCTGATGATCGTGACTTCAATCGTAACTCTGTCCATGTAGATTCTCATTCATCCAGGTCATGGTTTTCTTGAAGACTTAAAAACAGGCAACTGGACTGTGTAGAGTTGAGAAGCCTTCAATCGTAACTGCTGAACAATTATGATGATCAATGTCTTTCTTTCATCTAGGTGTCAATAATGATCGGTGTAACAGAGTGACGTACACTAAAAGGAAAATCTGTGCCTTCAGAGGATCATCAGTGGACATTTCTTGTACTTACAGCAGTAATACTTGGATCAATTCAAAGTTCTGGTTCAGATCTGGACTTCCTCAGGATCATCCTCGGGACCTAAAAGAAGACTCCCGGTATTCAGGCCGTGTTTCAGTTTCTGAATCATGGGGAGGACGCTCCACTCTGAGGATCTCTGACCTGAAAGATACCGACTCAGCAGAATATCGATTCAGATTCACTTCAGAGTACTTTGAATGGAGGAGCAGGTTACACGGTACAACTCTGACTGTCACAGGTACTTATTAACACAAACTGACTGAAACACACCGACACAGCACCTTTCTTTTGATTTTGATTTTTTATTTGAGCAAACCATCTTTTTAGAGCAGCAGGACAGCGAACGGACAAACAGGAGAACTACAAAATGCAAATAGTCCGTACCTATTTGTTGTCAAGATATTGTTTTCTTAAAAAAACCTAAGTGAAGCTTTTTTCCACCTCTAAATGAGCAGGTCAACACACCTTCCTGTGAAGAATAAATCCCAGAACTAAGTCATGTTGTGGACACAGATTTTTAAGTATATTTTCTTTGACTTTCAGGTTTTGCAACTGTCAGAATATTACCTGGCTTCAACCATTGATTACTAAACCAGAGACGCTGACACTGTTTCTTGTTCTCTTGTGCAGCTTTACAGGTTCAGGTGAAGAAGATCACAGGGACTTACAGGGTACAGCTGAGGTGTCTCAGCAGCAGCTGCAGTCCAGCTGATCGTCTTTCATACGTCTGGAACAGCAATAGACGGACTATCAGTGAGAAGACGTCTTCTTTGACAGTCTGGTTTTCTCTTGGAGAAGAAATCTCCTGTGCTTTAAAAGGACACGAAAGATTCCCCTCTCCACCAGTGTGTGAGTTTACCTTTACCACTGTCAGCACTGCACAACACTACTCCAATAATTTGAGTCAAAGTAGAACAAAAGTATGGTGGCCAGGAAGTGTCAGGCAATTTAAATATTCAAAATACTTTGCAAAAGGAAAAACACAAATGCAAATAAAGATACCAGAAGTGATCTTGTAGCGAATCAGAAATGAGCAAACTACCGCTCATTGTTGGAGTTGGAAAAAGTAAGAAAACTAAAGTTTGCAAAATGATATATATATATATGTCAAAGAGGAATTTCCCCTCAAATTTAAAATGTATTGGATTTCCCTTTGGGGATCAGCAAAGTTCTTCTTCTAGTTTACTTACTTTTTTTGATTTTTCAGACTTTCCATCCCCAACGTGTCCATCAGTTATAATAGTCCAACAGAACCACTGGTGGTAGTTTGCCCTTTTCTAATTCCGCTGCAAGATTACTTCTGGTGTTATTTTTTTGTGTTGCGGCTGTTTGCATTCATGTTTTTCTCTTTTGCAAAGCGTTTTGAATTTGCATGACACTTTCTGGCCACCGTACAAAAGGTCTCCTTAAAACAAACACTCATAGGTGATAAAGACTACTTCTCCAAGTAATGCAAGTTGAAATCTTCCTCAGATGCTCCAAAGGATCCTTCAGTGTCCTCTGACTCCTCTGCTGAGATAGTGGAAGAGGGTTCAGTGACTCTGACCTGCAGCAGTGATGCTAACCCAGTAGCTAACTTCACCTGGTACAAGAGGAACAAAGATTCAGACTCTCAACCTTTCAGATTAGGAGCTCAGCTGGTCTTCAGCTCCATCCAGCCCTCTGACTCTGGAGAGTTTTACTGTGAAGCTGAGAACCAGCTGGGAAAGAGGAGATCAGAGCCCTTCATCCTCGATGTGAAATGTGAGTCATAAATGACCAAAAATCTTCATCTGTCTCTGTCTCTGAAGACGTTATTTCTGATGATTTCTGCAGCTTTCACGCTCAACCTTCACAACATCAACTCACTGAGAGGCTGTGGAAAGATTTTTTCATATTGTGTCCTCAATCAGCCCTTCCAAACGTCCAAAATTTCTCTTACTGTGTCACCAATAACACCTTTAAATGATAAAATAAGCTCAAACTGTCCACACAGGTGCCAGAATTGACTCACCCTCAAAGCTTTAAGATAAGTCACGAAGACTCAGCCCTTTGTTACAGTCCTTATCATTTCCACATAGATGCACAAGGTACTTTTTGAGTCATAGTAAGATTCTATGTTTGTTTGTTTATTTAGCACAGATTAAAAACAGTACAAGGAGGGAACGAAGCCGATCAGCTTATACAAATATGTTAGCCCACTGTGGAAATATAAGACACTCAGAGAACGTGCTCCAAGAGAAAGATATGATTAAAGCCTGCTGCTAAAACAGCTGATGCCTCAAAGTCCTGTTACCAAAGACCGATGAACTTTTTGTTTTTGTGATCCAGATGCTCCAAAGGTTCCTTCAGTGTCCACGAAGGGGGAGACGGTGGAGGGCAGTCCAGTGACTCTGACTTGCAAGAGCGATGCTAATCCAGAAGCTACTAACACCTGGTACAAAGAGGACCACATGCTTCCTCAAGGACAAAATGGCATTTATTCTTTTCCCTCTATTAGATCCAATGACAGTGGGATCTACTTCTGCATGTCTAAGAACAATCATGGCCAGAACTCTACATCTGTTCACATAGATGTCCAGTGTAAGTAAATCATTTGGAGACTACTTTAATGTCGTCAACTTTTTCCCTCATGATGATCATAAAAGCATATTTTCAGAGAGTAAGAAGATCATACAGGTGGATGGGTGAAGTGCAAAGTCCACCTGGAGCTGGACTGAAGTAGTCTGGGTTCCAAGGGAAAGATAATTAAAGCCTGCTGCGAAAACAGCTGATGCCTCAAAGTCCTGTTACCAAAGACTGATGAACTTTTTGTTTTTGTGATCCAGATGCTCCAAAGGTTCATTCAGTGTCCATGATGGGGGAGACAGTGGAGGGCAGTCCAGTGATTCTGAATTGCACGAGCGATGCTAATCCAAAAGCAACTAACACCTGGTACAAAGAGGACCACATGCTTCCTCAAGGACAAAAAGGCATTTATTCTTTCCCCTCTATTAGATCCAATGACAGTGGGATCTACTTCTGCATGTCTAAGAACAATCAGCAGAGGGCGCCTTAACTCCACCGTGACTTTGGTCGTTGTCTCCAGTGAGTCTTGTTTTTTTATTTAATACACACACTTTCACTTGTGATCTTAAATATCCATGTTAACAAACCCAATCAATTCCAGCATGCCTCAGTTATGCTACCTCGCTAGAAGCCTCATCACCAAAAATATACAACTCAATTGCTATTACTGCGTTCCGGTTATCTCTGAGGTTGGATGTCAGAGAAGGGAATGACCTCGACCAGAAATGATAGTATTCTCGTAAACAACTCGGAAAACCAGGATGGATGCTTACTGTTGTAACGTTCAGCTATTGTTAGCTATTCTTAGATGTTGTTAGCTATTCTTAGCCGCTTTTAGCTGTTGTTAGCCATTGTTAGCTGTTGTTAGACGTTGTTACCAGTTAAAAAAAACGCATACCATGGTACACTCATGCAAACACCATAGTACCATGTTCACAGTTAGATGTTGGACAGTGCTACATCAACCACTTATTCAATTAAAAAACAAACAAACAGAAGTGCTAATAAGTAATAATACATTATGAGAGCTTCAACTATTACTGTTTACCGTTGATGCATGGTGCTGCCATCTTGGATTATGATAGACCATAGACTGTATATAAAATGGACGCCATCTGCCTCCTCTCTTGGTGAAGCCACTCCGAGAACAGCGCCCTCTGGTGACGGGCTGCTGTACAGGTCATAAACCCCGCCTCCTTATGGAGCTGTGGACAAACTTTATAAATGAATGACACAGAATATAAATGTTTCTCCCCCCTGGTTGTGATGTTGACATGTAGTTACTGTCAGACTAGTTTGTGCTCAAGTCCTCTTTTTTCTGTACAGCTCCATTTTTAAAAGTTATTAGGGGGTTCCTGTTTTCGATGATTGACACCTGATACAGCCTATGGGCGTTCAGGGATTGCTTAGCTCACCCAGTTCCAGGAAATGAAGAAAAATCCCAGAAATATCAAGAGCTTTTTGGCTTCAAATCCGTATACAGGCGGGAGGCTGAACCAAGTTGTCCATAGTATATACAGTCTTTGATGTAGACTCCTCATTCCATGCTGGAGAGTAACCCAGCGTTGCCGCCATATTGGATGAGTCTCCTCATGTTAGGCTCACATCAGAGCGAACGGTCATCAGTGAAAAATCAGAACTATGCCTGTATTCGTGCAGCAAAACCAACTCTGTTATGAAACCAGATCACAGAGGATTACCTTACACAGGTAAAAAATTGTTTGTTTCTAATGTGCGACAGTGTCCTGTATCACAGCTACATCCCTGCCGTTTGTAACAAACCAAATCATGTGAAAATTGGGTAAAAATTCAAGGAGTAATGATCGATACAAGATGGGGGCCATGTTGATTCATCAACTCCATTAGTCTCAGTCTATGCAGATCTATGTATATTATATCTACAGACAATTCAGCAGAGTGTTACTAATGAATTTACAATTTCCCAGTTCAACTGGATTGCAGCATAAATGACTAATTAAACTTGTATTTGATTACACTGACAGTGACACTCATTACTAACAGCTTCCAACATTGTCACCCTCCTCATGTTCCTGATGTATTGGTTTTCCAGGTTCAGTGAAATCAGTAGCAGTTGGATCGATCACTGCTATTTTACTAGTCATCTTTGTCCTCTTAATTGTCCTTTTTATAAGGTGAGAGCTCCACTTTGTTGTTTTTTTTCCAGTGATCAAGTTTAAATTCAGTTTGATAGATGAATATTTTATTTATTTGTTATATCCAGAAGGCAGAGATCCTCAAAAGGCAAAAACAAACCTGGAGGAAGGCCGGGCAGTGAAAGACAGGTAAGAACGAACAGTTCAGGTGTTACTTTGAACAGCACTTCATGACTATTTGGATTCATTTCACATTCATGTCTTTGTTTTGACCTGCTGCTTGGTGTCATTAAGGGACATCAACAGTAACAGTTGCACTTCCTTAAACGGTTTTGACCCATTTGTAGCTGGGAATATTTGTGGACATCCTGACTGTGAAATCACAGAGAGATCAGGAAACCCTTAAACTGTCTATACTTGTTTTAACAAAATTTGTGTCCACAACAGACTGAATCAGTTACCTTAGTGATACATTATCTGCTTTTCAGCTCAACGTGGCATCAGCTGATGAAAACTCTTCAGCTTCCCAAAGACAAGCAGCAGAGGATCAGGATGACCTTTGTTACACCAGCGTACGCTTCGCCAAAAAACAGGAAGAACCTCTCTACTCCAACATTTCACTAGCTAAACCACACAGACCCAAGAGAAAAGAGGAGGAGGAGGAAGAGGAGGAGGAGGAAGATGATGTGGAATACAGTATAGTCATCAGTAAGACAGAGTAAGTCCATGTGACAGGTTTGAAGGAGTGTGTTGAATTCTAACTCAGTCTTTACAATGTGAGGATATCAGATCTTTATGTTTTTAAAATTCACAGATCAAGAAACGGAGGAGCTGAGGAGGACTCTTCTGCAGTATACAGCTCAGTCATGAAAACACCAAGAGTGTGAACACGGGTCTGCGGTTTATTGCTTCAGACCGTCAAAGGAGATGTTCAAACACATTTCTCAAGACTGTCTAGGTCAATATTGCACAACAAAAATCATCAAACACAAAGAATCAGCAGACCTATCCTCGTCGTCATCATCATCATCATCATCAGGATTGTTTGGGAGCATTTTTTCACATATTTGATATTTCTGCAAAGGCGTTCGCCACAAGATTTATAAAACTACGTAAACTGGAACAAATTTCAACATCCAAATGGCCAAACAAGTTTGAAAGTGAGACTTCTGGTTTCCTCTTTGCATGCTGTAGTTGTAACCTAATTTGTGGATGCAGTGATGATCTGTGTTCCCAATGGACAATGGTTTTTGGAAGTGTTTTCAGCCCGTGCAGTGAATTCTACTGCAGAGTTCCCAAAGAATATGGCAGTAAACTCAGCTATCAGTCTTGTTCTTTTTGGTCCTTTGTTCTAAATCTTTCAATTTTACTACATTTTACTCTCAGGAACATTATTCTGAAACTGTTTAACTTTTAGCTAACACAGTCCCTCTCAGAGAGGTGAACCCCTTCCCATCTTTCCCCCTGAGAGACTCATCCTCTCTGAATGTCCTTTTTATAGCTTTTTAATTTTTGTTGCTGACAAATAAAAAATGAGGATATGTTATAAAACAATCAAACTTGTTCAATTTTAACATTTGATATTCTTTCATTGCTCTCTTTCCAGTTAAATAAAAGGTTTTAGTGACTTGTAATTAATAAAAACCTGTCTTTATGAACATCTTGTCAACCTGTCAGAATCGTGGTTGTCAATAAAAAACATGTAAATAACCTAGCTCTAAAAAAGCGTCACTGCAGCTTTCATAACCACGTGGGAGTTACCTAATTTATCTAATAAGGATGACATCGCCATCCCTCCTGACTAAAACCCAATCAAGTGTTTCAAGTACAGACAGTATGTCTGAAAAACTGCTGTTGGGTGCATGTGTGAAAGAAAAACTCTTTAAAACATCCAGAATTTGTCAGGTTTTTAGGACTGAAAGGAATTATGAACTTCAGACAAACTGCAATAATCTCAATAAACCCAGATCCCTGAGTACGGAACTTCATATAAGCTATTTTTATCATTTGCATAACTGCAAGAACGGTTTCTTCTTTCCAACTGAGAGATTTACAGTAACCTGTCTGTTCATGCATGTAAACTACACAAAGAGGAAGAAAGATGGTGAGGCTTCAGAAAGCTTCATGGCTAACAGAAGCTGACTGAGCGAAGAGATAAAAAAAGTGTCTTACAAGACCACATCCCTTTTTAAAGATATTTCAAACAGAGACAGTTTCTCCTGATCATGACTTTGCTGACTAAACAGAGGAAACAGAAGCAGCTATGAGGCTGAAAACAGCAGACACTGGACTCCTTATCTTTCTTCTCTTTGTACAAGGTAATCATCATTTAAATACTTGATTCATGAATACTTAAAAATACAAAATACAACGTTTCTCGATTCAAATTAAACTATATATCTGTTGTTTTGCTGATCTTATGACGTCAGAAATTCACTTCTCTTCCTGTGACTTGATGTGTTAACTGGATGTTTGGCAGAAACTGAATCACTATTTTCTCTTCACATATTTAGTGAGAATATTTGACTTTGAATCGACAACTTTAACTTTAGTTAGTCAGCATTAGAGTCTATTTAGAGACTAATTCACACAATCCACACAAGAAACACAACACTAACACGGCACGAGTTCCTATCAAGTCATCCAGGACACTAAAAACAGGTTTTTAAAGGTTTAATAGGATTTTAAAATAATCTTTAATGATTAATGATGTGTTCATATCAAGAGTAGGACAGATATGAGAGTACAATGTTGAAATTTCTGTTTTGTCTGCATTATTTGTTCAGAGTTACCACAGCTGCTTTCAGCTCTACGCGAGGATTTTACCTTCTTGTTTTGGGTTTTCTTGCTAAAAATGTTGCTGTTTTGTTTGGTTTGTTTCTCAGAGGGACCTCACATGATAGAAAGAGGATTTATCAAAGGTCCTGTGAGGAGTTTTTGCCTCGGATCACTTTACAACTTGCAGAAATAAGACCAATATAGCAGTTTAAATTCAGAATGAACGTCTAAACATCAATATTCGGTAATAATCCTAAAATATGACATTTAAAAAATATGAAGTTAAAAGTCATGGAGGAAAAACCTGTGCTCTTTCAGGAACCCTGATTTGTTTCTTTAGTATCTCCATTGATCAGAATTGATTTACGAAACATTATCTGAACATCTCTGGTCTCTGTTACTTCTCTTTTCTCTCCTCTGCTCATCACACTTCTTGCCCACACTTATTTTTTTCTGCAGTTTCCGTTGTCACACTGCTGCAGCCTCACCCTAATTTCAGACAGGAAACCAAACAGACAAAACAGACTGTAAGACCATCATCTGGAAAATTGATGATGGTGGTTTAAATTAACAAATAATAAGATGTCACAGAGTTTGGTTTCAATGCAGCTGGCTTCACATCAGCTATAAAATTCAACAAAAACAAACTTTTCTTAGAGTATAAATGAATTTTTGCATAATCTGTGTGTCCTGGTGTGCTCTGTGTTTCAGTGGTTCAGAGTCAGTATGGCTGGGGAGTGACTTACACCTCGACTAATATCTGTGCCCCAAAAGGATCAACAGTGGTCCTAAGCTGCTCCTACAAACACCCGTCCACAATAAATAGACAACGGTTAAAAGTCCAGAAAACATTCTGGTATAAGGTGAAGTCTGGAGTCCATGTAGATTCTCATCCATTGAAGTCTGAAGAACCTGCAGATCTGAACACAGACTCTGAGTACAGAGGTCGGGTGACTTACAGATGGACAGAGAGGACCTGTAGTCTGACAATCACAGACCTGAGACAGAGTGACTCAGCTGAGTACAGGTTCAGGTTCATCACAAACCAAGATACTGGGAAATACTCTGGTGTGCCTGGAGTCACTTTGACTGTCGCAGGTGAGATTTTCATCCATATGACTTAAAAAAAGAAAGAAAAATAAAACATCTCTGACTGTCGTCTCCGTTCTCTCTCACAGATCCACACCTTCAGGTAAAGGTGAGAGATGTGAGGCGAAGTGGCAGGGCAGATTTGCAGTGTGAGAGCAGCTGTCCTCTACCTCCTCAGTTTTCCTACATCTGGTACAAAAATGAAAAAGAAATTCAAGGAAAAACTTCATCTGTATATTTGGACTATTTTAGCTCTGAAGACAGGTATTCCTGTGCTGTTAAAGGACATACAGATTTCCCCTCTCCATCAGTGTGTGAGTTTACCTTTACCACTTTCATCACTTTTTTAGTCCAAGTAGAACAAAAGGTCTCCTGAAATTAAAACAAACACTTGTAAGTGATAAAAACTACTTCTCCAAGTAATGCAAGTTGAAATCTTCCTCAGATGCTCCAAAGGACCCTTCAGTGTCCTCTGACTCCTCTGCTGAGATAGTGGAAAGGAGTTCAGTGACTCTGACCTGCAGCAGTGATGCTAACCCAGTAGCTAACTTCACCTGGTACAAGAAGAACAAAGATTCAGACTCTCAACCTTTCAATAAAGGAGCTCAGCTGGTCTTCAGCTCCATCCAGTCCTCTGACTCTGGAGAGTTTTACTGTGAAGCTGAGAACCAGCTGGGAAAGAGGAGATCAGAGCCCTTCATCCTCGATGTGAAATGTGAGTCATAAATGATCAAAAATCTTTATCTGTCCTGTCTGCAGCTTTTACACTCAAAATTCACAGCTATCTTCATTCACTGAGCAGCTACACAGAGACTGTTTAATGCCTTTAGACTGATCACAACAATGCTATGACACCTACAATCTCTCTAGGTTCAGAGAGCTGGTAATAGTTATCCAAACACGATAGCATGACGTTAACTGTTGACAGTTTATTGCCACAGGTAGGTAATATTTTGAAGTATATGAAAATGAAGGATTCAAAAAAATTCAAAAATAGAGCTCTTTCAAAAAGGTTGAAAAATAATTAAATACATTTTAAAAGAAGGAAGTGTCCCTCCTTCTTTGTAGAAGGTCAGAGCTCAGTTCAGTTCTGTGTTTAATGTGTGTCACGTTCTGAATGGTTACTACCCAGGTAGATTTTTGTGTTATGATCTTATCTGTATCATGAATGAAGTGAGATGATGTCTGAAGTTCCTCGGAGTGGATCCCACGGTTGGCCAGACCCTGTACCGTTCAGTCTGGTTTGCTTGTCCCTTTTGGCTCGCCACCGAACCTCCTCGGTTCAGAATCTGAATCAGCAAACAAAAAACAGTCTTCGCATAGAGTGCAGAACAAATAACCATTACTATCTATACAAATCATCTTTCTACTTTCACTCTATACTCTATTTCACTCTATATCTTCCATATCTATACCCCGTTGTAGGATGTACAGCATTCATAGCATTGTTAATTAGTCAGTATTGTTTACAATGCAGGATAAGTATTTCACCGTGACAATTACCTATCATGAACCTATTTCTTAACACAAATGCACTAATTTAGTGTTAAACAGAACATCAATATTTATCTTTACCAGTCTTTCTCCTAAAATTTTTTATATGTGGGGGATGGGTAAAGTTACATTACGTTACCCACACTAGCTATATAGACGGCTTCAACTTTACCCTTCACAGTAATGGAAGTCGAAAATAACGTCGAGTATTATTGTTCTCACACCGTGCGAGCAGAAATCATTATCGTCACATTGATACTAATGCTACTCATGCTACTAATGTTCCTCTATATATAGACTGTGTATAAGCTTGTACGTTACCTTTCATGTTGATGGAAGAGGGTCCCACAGAATTTGATACGCTCGTTGATGACTCAAAACAAGTTGAAAATAACGTCGAGTGTTGTTGTGCTCACACAGTACAAGCAGAAATCATTAGTGGATCATTGATATTAATAATCATGTGAAATTTCAGTGGTGACGCACGTAATGAATGTAGGGGAAAACTTTTATTAACCATAAATTATATCTCTTTGTAACTTTTTAAACTGTAAATCAACATTACTAAATTATTCTTTTCAACCAACATGAACATTTGAACAACTTCAATACAGTAAAACACATTATGCACAGTATTTTAATCAAAAGACACTTTAACTATCACAACTAGCATCATATCAGAACAAATAAACATCACATGTAATCTGTTTCTCTCTCATAGCCTACAGTAGCGTCAATTTAGCTCAACCAGCTACACCATTAGCATTCCCATTACAGGTAATACCTGTATTAGCAAAGCGGCGCTAGCCGCGTTTAGCATTAGCTTCGCTCGCTAGCGATTTTATTACAGCTATTTTCCAAAGTTCACAATGCTACAGCAGGTACCACTGCGGATTTAAAACAGTAAAATATCAGTGACTCCGACCGGTTTTATGAAAATACTTCCATGAAAGGAACTTTCTCACATCATGCCTCTATGAGAAAAACATCAGCTAAGCTCGAGGCCTAGCCCCTTAGCATGTAGCATCTTTCTTACCGAGTTTTCACAGAGGCTCAACACGGTGAAACCGGCCCTGCTCTCTCTCTCTTTGTCTCACTCTCAGGACTTTTCCCCGGTTCGTCAGGACAGCTACTTAACGTGCAGGTGCTCTGGTCGGTTTACTTGTCTCCAAGTAAAATGGCGCTCGCCTCGCACAGAGATTATGTTCAATATTCATGACACTGAGCACAGGGCTGATGATGCGCCACTGTAAAGTGGGGCTAAGGTACTGTGTGACTTCAATCACATAAATTGCTTCAGTAACCATGTGGGTTACAGACTGTAGCTTCTAGCTTCCCTCTGTGTTGGTCAGTCACAGAGAAACTAGCAGAGATGTTGCATCTCCAGGACTACAAGGATTTTATTACTTCACCTCCATTAACCCCGAGGACAGAGGGATCTACTACTGTATGTCCAAGAATCAACATGGACAGATCAACTCCATCTGTGTTGGTTGATGTTCAGTGCATGATGCATACTGAGATGTATTACTGTACGTCTTTAATGATATTTGAGATGTCTAACTACTGTACGGTAAATGTCAATTGTCCATAGTCAAATCAGATTTTGCCAGCCATCCTAACGCTTAACCTGATTTCTTACTAAAACTTATTGGACATTAAGAATATAGACAATACCTTCACAGTCAATGGACATATCAGGAGTAATATATAATAAAAAGTGTCAAATCTAAACAAAGTCAACTCTTGACTTCATTTTAACAGGCAGAAACCTTGAGCAGAACCAGAGACAGTAGAAAGCACTCATTTCCAAGACTTGGTGGGCTAATATGTGATATGAAATAAGAGATCATAAGAAAAGAGACAAGTCTTTTTACTGTTTACACACTGGAAGTCTCATATTGCCTATTTAAAAATAGAGACCTAATTCCCCAAAACTGAGAACACTTTGGTTTACTTCATATTACTGTAAATTTCTTCCAAGAACTCAACCACGGGGAAGCTGTCACTGACTGATCAAATGTACACTTTGACTGATCACTGCAGCCTTAACATGTGCAGAAGAGATGGAATCCTGTATTTCATGGAGGGAAAAAAATCAGTTGATCAATAGCAAGCTGCTGTCAGCCTTAGCCTCAAAGTCCTGTTACCAAAGACTGATGAACTTTTTGTTTGTGTGTTCCAGATGCTCCAAAGGTTTCCTCGGTGTCCGTGATTGGGGAGACGGTGGAGGGCAGTCCAGTGACTCTGACTTGCACGAGCGATGCTAATCCAAAAGCTACTAACACCTGGTACAAAGAGGACCACATGCTTCCTGAAGGACACAACGGCACTTATACTTTTCCCTCTATTAGATCCAATGACAGTGGGATCTACTTTTGCACGTCTCAGAACCATTATGGCAAGAAGAACTCTACGTCTGTTCGCATAGATGTCCAGTGTAAGTAAATAATCAGGAAACCATTTTAATGTTGTCAGCTTTTTCCCTCATGATTATCATAAAAGCATATTTTCAGAGAGTAAGAAGATCATACAGGTGGATGGGTGAAGTGCAAAGTCCACCTGGAGCTGGACTGAAGTAGTCCGTGTTCCAAAACAGACCAGAATTAAAGTTCTCACTTGCACTGACTTGAAGCACCAACCTAGTTTGCCTTATCAGTTATATTCTTGTGCATTTTCTCCTCTAGATGCTCCAAGGCTTCCCTCTGTGTCATTGGATCCTCCTGGTGACATCATGGAGGGCACTTCAGTGACTCTGACCTGTAGCAGTGATGCTAACCCAACAGCTAATTACACCTGGTACAGGATAAATGACCAAACACCAAAAATATCAGGACCGGTCTTTACCATCAGTAATGTCAGATCTGAAGACAGTGGGAATTATTACTGTGAAGCTCACAACAGCAGAGGGCGCCATAACTCCACCGTGACTTTGGTCGTTGTCTTCAGTGAGTCATGCTCCTAATTTAAATACACACTTTAACTAATGTATCACCCTCACTGTCCTGTTAAGCTGATAACTATAAACCAAAAACCTTGCTAAAAGTAAAGTTGGCAGACGGGTTTTAGCAAAGAGTCATTAGCACTTCAATTTTATGAGGTCATACCACCTGCTGTGATGGTAACTCAGCAACGTTGGCATTTAATAAGCCCCATATTCAGTATCATATTTCCTATTTTGTGCCGGAAAGCAGCTATTAATCCACTGTTTTCCATGTCCTGGATTTGCAGATATTAAAGCCAAATGGTAAAGGACTTTATCATCTGCAAACAGTTTGAATGAATTTAAAAACTGTACATCTCTTTGCTTGGACCAGCAATTGATTAAAAACCCCAAAATGAATAAAGACAAGGCACAACCACCAAATATTAAAGATCTTACTAAAATGATGCCTCTGTGAATCCACATCAGATTTCAACATGAGCTTTGGTACTATAGCATGCCATGGTACCAAAGCACCATCTAAAATACAAGCCAAAGGACATAGCGCTGTCTCTCTTTATTAAAATTAAAATATGTCTGTGATTGAAGGCTTTTCATGTTCCACTTCAATTTCGTCTTGTTTCCGAAAGGGAGTTGTCCTTCATAGTCACTAGTTTGACAGATAAGTTGTCTGATGATAAGCCTGCTGTCTTTAATTCATTCTTTATGGCTCCCCTCAAATCCTTCCATGGTGCGGAAGATAAGCTAGTTCTGGTCCTGGTCTCAGAGCCATACTGTCTGCTGATTCTGGGTCCCCAGGGTAAACCAAACCTGAAAACCTAATTTATTTTAAGTGTTGTTAATGAAGATATGAAACTACCAACTCATCAGTCACATTTACTTCTTTCCAGTAATCTGCCCATGGAGGCCTCTGAGATACCACATGATGACAGTGATTACGATCATATTGTTTTTTTTGGTCCAGTGTTGTTTTCGTCAGGCAGGACGAAAACTTAAATGACGACGTCAGACCCCTTTTTTCCTTGACGAAAATGAGACTAAGACGAACGTCACCAAAGCTCTGTAAAGACTAAAATGTGACGAAAATTGTATTGATTTTCGTCAGACGAGAACGAGACGAGACTAAATTGTTATTAGGTGGACGAACAAAGTTTCAAAACATGCTTTTTTTGTCCTAACAGTCACGCCCCCATCACACACGCACCAAAAGCCTCGCTCGCGCACAGCTGCGCGCACACACTTATTCACATACACAGAGCGGCAGGTGGACGAGGCGCGCACACACACACACACCGTGGCGGCAGGCACAGCAGTGGTGCCCGGTGGCCGAAAAAAGAGGGATGATTTTTGGTCCTACTTCAGATACAGTTCAAGTGACAATAAAATAAAAGTGACAATAAAACACGGGACGGGGAGACGAGACAGACGACAGTTGTGGAGCCACAGCTTCCTCATGCTTCAAACTGTCGGGAAAGAACACTACGAACCTCAAAAGGCACCTTTACGTCGACTAAAACTAGACGAATACCTTTTGAGTTTTGGTCAGACTAAAACTAGACGAAAACTATCAAGGATAGAAATGACTAAAATGGGACTAAAACGAAGAAGCATTTCGTCAAAATGACTAAGACTAAAACTAAATCTAAAATGCCTGCCAAAAACAACACTGTTTTGGTCCAGTTGACTGTTATAAATTCACCCAGATAATGTGCAATTCTCTGATCAAGTGTCTCCTTCTGGTCTGTGTTTCTCAGGTGCAATGAAATCAGTCGCTGCAGGATCGATCTTTGTTATTTTTCTGGTTGTCATTTTTCTTTTGGCCGTCCTCTTTATAAGGTGAAAGATTTAATTAATTAATTAATTAATTAATTTTGTCCAATGAAAGAGCTTAAATTCATTTCATTTGATGCTTTCTTTGTTTTATCAGAAGAAAGAGAGCTGCAAGAGAAACCAACAGACCCGGAGAAAGGCTGGAGAACAATGGGCAGGTACTGAAGAAGCGGTTAACGCATTTCAGCAACTGTTTAGAGTCCTCCTTTAATGAAAATCTGTCAAAGAGTGCTTTATGACTCTTTTGTGTTCAATGTTATTTCATAAACATGTGACCATATGGCAGACACTGGTGTATGGAGTACCTCAGGGGTCAATTTTGGGACCAATTGTATTTTCTATGTACATTCTTGGTCACATGATACAGACACACAATATTTCATTGAACTGCTATGCTGATGACACTCTGCTTTATCTCACCAGAAATATCTCAAACCTCACAAACTAAGAGTGCAAATTATTATTTATAAGTTACTCAGTTAACAATATAACCCACTGTCTGCTTTTCAGCCCAGCATGGCTTCAGCTCCACAAAGACAGCCAGATGACGAGCTTTGTTATGCCAGCATACGCTTTGCTAGAAACCAGGAAGAGCCTATCTACTCCAACGTTTCACCGGCTAAAGCTAACAGACGAAAGAAAAAAGAGGAAGAGGAGGAGGAGGAGGAGGGGAATGTGGACTACAGTGTAGTCAACTTTAAGAGCAACAGGCCTTCACCAAAGTGAGTCCATGTGTCATTTTTCCTTATTTATTTATTATTTCATTTGTTAATGTTTTTTTTTTTTTAATTCACAGATCGAGAAATGGAAGTGCTGATGAGGATTTCTCTTCCCTGTACAGCTCAGTCACAAAAACACCAAGAGCCTGAACTCAACTCAGATCCGGGTTTATTACTCCAGCGTCAGTGGACACACTGGGTGACATTTCTCAGTTCTAGTTTCAGTGGAGACCCTTTGTTAAAAAGTGCGATCAACTTTGAAAATGTTTGAACTTTTTACATTCTTTTTTTTTAGGACCCACATCTCTTAATTCGATCCTTTAAATGCCTTTTTTAATGCTCAGTGCCACTGCTTTTTATATGATGGAAAACACAATAAATTATGTATTATTTACATGTTAAGGTGATTTTTATTTACTCACAGGAGATTATGAGTCCCTTGAATATTTCTATGATGAGCAGCGAGCTTCATTTCTGTGCTTCACAAAGTGGAATTTGATGTTTTCAGCCACACTCACACACAGGTGCCCCTGGTACCCAACTTATGGTTCAGCTTAGACTATGCAATCTAAATACCTCCATATCCATAGTAGTTTTAAAAAGTCTAGTCTGAATTTTATCATCATCAAGCTGACATCAAGCTTGGATAGAGGCCATCGATGGTGCTGAAAGTACACAACTGATGATGTGTCGTGTTGGCCTTACCCTAAACCCTAAACCCTAAACCCTAAACCCTCGCCCTATCTGATTCCACCTCAGAGATCATCTCCCAAATCCTGTTAGTAGTGTGCTGTTCATTAAAAAGTTGTGAACTCTAAGTAGTTACACTTTGCTGTTTTAAAGACTCAAGCTGGACCGTAGCCATCTTGTTTTTGAGGCTGAAAGGACCATGTATAAAACAGACGGATATCAGCTGAGATGATAAAGGAGTTGCTTATCTATTGCTATTATATTCTTCTTGCTAGAGGCTACTTTATTAGCTGGTTGATTTGCTAGTGTGCAGATTCGGCTAACAACTCTATCTATGATGCTCCCATATATCAGCAAACGCTAACTAGTGCTTAATTATAAATTGAGCATCTTCATCACTTCAGGGTTTGGCTTTTGCACCGGCTAAAACTGTGCAAAAAAGCCAAAAAGCAAAGTCGTATTCAGACAGCATGCACAATGTGATAAATGCTGTTCTGTGTGACGACAGCCACCTCTTGATTACTCACTTTTCTGGCTGCGCCTGCACAGATTAGCAATTTGGACATGTTGTTTTCTCTCTGTTAGCTACTTAGTGCTTCGCTGGTAAAAGATTTAAAGGTTAACATCCTCAGTAATCATGTTTTTATTATTTGATCCTGTCACCGCAAAGTTTTCCAGTTCTACCTGCCAAGAACTGATCAAATCTTAAAAACGTCTTTGGGTGCATTCTTGCTCATTTTCTTTCATTCTGACTTTGCAACGGTTTCGGCGCTCTTTCAGTCTCAGACAACATTAGCAGGCACATTCACTGCTTGGAAAAACTATAAATCATCTTCACTTGAAGAGAGTCGGTGACTGAGTTTAATGATTATTAATAACATAAGGAAGAGAACAAATTTAACAGCTGATCTACTTCGTTCTCATGACCACAGACCGACACTTTCTGCAGAGACATCATCCTCACCTTGTTGACAACTTCTGATGTGCTCATTTATGTTCAGTCCTCCTGCTCAGAACAGTTACTTAAAGCCACAAAGGAAGCAGAGGAGCAGCTATGAATTTAAAAGCTACAGCTGATGGATTGATTATTTTTCTTCTCCTTGTATCAGGTAATGCTTATTTTCACACAATTATCACATTCTCTCAGAACTTGCCTATTTTTTTGTCCTTTATTTCTTTTTGTTGCATCATTCCTGAGTCTTTAGCCATTTTTTAAGTTTATCTTGGTGAATCACTTTCATACAGATTAATTAACAATTAATCTATCTGCTATTTTTCAATTAATCTGTTAACTGAAAGTTGTTTTTTATGCTTCTATATTTTATCCAATCATCTTCTCTTATATGTGGAACAAAATGTGCATGAAGGGTTTTATTCCCCTGTGAAAACGGTCAGTATTAACTCTGTGTCAGTGTCTGAAAAAAGGTTTCTCTGCTACATAAATCCCCATGTCCTTATGAATCATATCAAACTTAATTTATAAAGCACTCTTCATACAAATCGTACAGCTCTAATGATACCATTTAACACCTTATGATATGATACATTTAGCTGAATGGGATTTAATATGATTGTTTATGATAATAAAAGGTAGGCTAGGGTTAAATTTGATACAGTGAGATATGATATGGTTTGATTACACAGAAGGGAAACTACAAGATACAATGAAATATAAGGTGAAATATTGGATTAGACATGATCCTATAAGATGTGATACAAACGTACAATAGGATCCATTACGATCCTTTATGATACACTTTATACCTTAACGAGGAAATTTGGCTCAGACTCATTGCTAAGATATTTGACTGTTTTCACAAAGTAAGTACTAAAAACAGATGACAATCCACATGCAGGAGAAACACACACCAAACCACAACAAACATATAGATTAACCCATTAATGCCCATAGTTAAATTTTTTAGTTTCCTTTTGTACACCAGGAGTACGAGCTGATCTAAGTTCAAATCAATCAAAGTAAAAACTACAAGGACTTATATCAAATACTTGGTACCATTGGATTCAGAACAAGTTAAATTTTAATAATATGTTCTTCCATCCAGAGTAAAACCATTATCTAACAGTCAACTTAATGGTAAAACCATTTTTGTGATTTTTTCCGTTTTTGGCAGTAAGTCAACTTTGTGTACAAAGAAAGGCATGATGCATTTGTCAAATAGATTTTTTTTGTATGTGTGTGTAGACACATGTCTTGACAGTATTCATAGCAAATTTTGTGTTGCTATCTCTAACTGTAGAAAATCTGTGGGGTTTTTCCTTAACATACTGTATTTAGTATCTGGGCACATATGGGTTAATACACGTCAGTCATCCAAAGACCAACAGGTTCTGCACAAAGCAGCATGAATGAAGCAGAAGACAAGACCAGAAGAACATCATGAAGCTCATACTGCTCTTGTGCAGTCCTCTTTAAATACTTTCAATGATCGGCCTTTTTGAAATGTTCAGTCTGTGTTCATGTAGTTTAGTCTGCTTAAATTTTCCCACACTTTACATCATTGTTTTCAGATTCATGAAGCTTCTCACTGACGTTTGTGTGATATTTCTGCTCTCTTTGACCTCAGCTATCTTTCTATTTATTGCTTAGAGTCACAGCCTTTGTTCCTTTACGTGCTTTGTCACCTGTAGTCTCTCTGTTAAATACAGCACAGATCTGACCTCAGGCTGATCAGAGGAAATAACAGAGCACTTCAAGCAGCCACAAGCTGCTTTTAAACTCATGTGAATTTCTGGTTTCTGGTTTCCAAGCACAAATTATACGTCTTTGTTCGCTTTGACCAAACACAAAATAAAACCATGAGAGTCTTAAACCAACAGGAGGGATTTTAGGATCAGGATCAGCTCATCAACCGTCTCCTGATGTTATGAATTTGTGTTTCCTGTGTTGTGTGTTACAGCGGTGAGAGGAGAGAATGGCTGGAGAGTGACCTACCCAGCGCCTCAGATCTGTGCCTTTAAAGGATCAACAGTGGACATAACCTGCACCTTCACACACCCGCCTGGACCGGATGAGCTTGACGTAGAAGCTCAAGAAAATTTCTGGTTTACTAAAGTGGACGGAAACCGATCTGTGGATATAAGAGAAGATCCAGACTTCTCAGGCCGGGTTGGTTTTGATTTTGACGGGAGCAAATCCACTCTGAGAATCTCAGACCTGAGAGAGAGCGACTCAGCGGAGTACAAGTTCAGATTCGGTACAAACCAAACAGGAAGTGCCAGCGGTTCGCCTGGAGTCACTTTAAATGTCACAGGTTATATTCCATCCCACAAATACAGCTGCTAATCTTTGTCAATATAATCTTGAGTGGTTATAATTTAATATTTGCTTTATTTCTCCACATGTTTAGACCTGAAGGTGCAGGTGGAGGCAGTATCCACCCAGGCCAAGCTGGAGTGTACCAGCAGCTGTCATGTGACGGATAATTTGTCATATGTCTGGTTAAAAAATGGACAAAAACTGAGTGAAAAGTCATCCTCTTTAACCGTCCCTGCTAACATCAGCAGATATTCCTGTGCTGTTGGAGGACATGAGGTTCACAGATCTCCTGAAGTGTGTGAGTTCACCTCCTGTGTCATGTGTACAGTTCTGTCACCTATCCAACTCTGTTTGTTCCACCTCCTAATGTGCTCCATGTTGCAGTGATTAAAGGCTGGGGAGTGATGTACTCTTCCCCTCAGATCTGCGCCGTAAAAGGATCAACAGTGGACATACCCTGCACGTACACATATCCACCGATAATCAATCAGATATCGACTGTGGTTCAAAGCAGATTTTGGTTTACTAGTGCAGATTTTGATGATCTGAGAGGAGACCCAGAGCGCTCAGGTCGTGTCGAGTATCATCTTGATGGGGGTAAATGCACCCTGAGGATCACAGACCTGAGGGAGAGCGACTCAGCGGAGTACAAGTTCATGTTTACAACAAACCAGAGAGACGGAAATGTTACTCCTTCACCTGGAGTCAATTTGACTGTCACAGGTAACACCTTATATGTACTTCCTTCAGGTAACATTATCAGGAAATATCCCAGAAATGTTCACTAATATACAGATAACACCCAATTATACACATCTCTGAAGTCAGGAGGAACTTATAGATTAAAGTCACTTAAAGCATTTTATTAGACCTGGAAGACCTGAAAACTATCAATGTTCTTGGCCCCAAACACCTAAGAGAGGCACTGTCTAATGATGTAACTGCTGTAGATGATATCAGCTGTGCAGAAAAACTACTCCATCCTCACTCCCACTAACAACCTCTTCGTCATCTATTGTACCAAAATCTTTCTGTCAAACTGTTATCTCCATGTCCAGACCTGCAGGTACAGGTGAAAAAAGCATCGACCCAGATCGAGCTGAGGTGTCACAGCAGCTGCAACGTGACTGATCATCCGCCATATTTCTGGTACAGAAATGGAAAGACGGTCTACAAAGAGGCGCCTTTTCTCAGATTGCCTCTCAATGATTTCAGAAACTATTCTTGCTCCATTAGAGGACATGAGGATTACAGCTCTCCGGCAGTGTGTGAGTTTATCTGCCCAGTCTTGTGTAAATGTTTCTTTACCATAAGGTGAACATCTCCTCTTTTGGGGGGCTGTCCGGCCTTGTCCGGGTTTATAAAATCCTTCAAATGTCCGTAGTTTTGCATGGAAGTTTTGAGTTCGCGTCATGTGGACTTACTGATTTAGAAGCGTGTAAAAAAACACTCGACCCGACCCGAAAAACCCTAAAAGTTTACTGTGACTCAGTGACTGTCCTGTTTTTGGGGTTTCAGAATTTGGTCTCCCTATTTACCATCGTCTTAAAATGTGTGCCTCTATTTTCTAAAAGATGGGTTTATTTTTGTGCAGATCCTCCAAAGTCTCCTTCTGTGTCGGTCAGTCCCGTGGTGGAAGGCAAACTGGTGAACCTGACCTGTAGCAGCGATGCTAACCCTGCAGCTAACTACACCTGGTACAAAGAGCAAAGAAACACCAACCATCAGTTCCTCCAGCGCGGACCAAAGTTCATCTTCAGCTCTATCCAGCTGTCTGATTCTGGAGGGTATCGCTGCTTAGCTAAAAACGAGCTAGGTTGGGGGATTTCTCGAGTCTCCATTAAAGTGAAATGTGGGTCTACCTGCAGTTTAGTTCCTGATCTGACTTAAAACGGGCAAAACAATAAACACTCTAAAGAAAAAGGTCATTTGTGGTTTGTTTCTTATAATCTCCTTCAGATGGACCAAAAACCTGCTTTGTTTCGATGAATCCCACTGGTGAAATCAATGAGAACAGGACACTGACTCTGAACTGCAGCAGCGACAGTTACCCAGCGCCGGAGTTTACCTGGTACAAGATGAACGGACATGGATATCACAGTAAAGGTCCACAGCTTATCTTCAGCTCCATTCAGTCCACAGACACTGGAAGATATTACTGTGAAGCAAAGAACGAGGTTGGGGAAAGGACATGTGGAAACCCCTACATCAACGTGAAATGTGAGTGAAACTGTGATTTTTTTGTAAACAGAAATAACGTCTTCGTTTTTACATTTTCTTGTCTGTACGGCTTTAAAAAATATTGATGTTTGCTTCTCCAGACGCTCCAAAGCCACCGTCTGTGTCAGCAAGTCCCTCTGCTGAGATCTCAGAGGGTAGATCATTGGTTCTGACCTGCAGCAGTGAAGCTAACCCTTCACCGACTTTCACCTGGTACAAGAAGAGTGGAAGTATTTACACAAGAACACAGGTTTACTTCAGATCCATCAGCGCCTCAGACTCTGGAGAGTATTACTGCACCGTTGAGAACAGGCTGGGCAAACGGACGTCTGAAACCATCTTTATTAATGTAACATGTGAGTTGAATGTTTCTTTTCAAAAATATCAAGTTTATTTAAGGTTGTTTATTCGGATTTTTTATACGCAAGAGTTTAAGAAACTCTTTTAAGGGTTAGGGTTTAAGGGTTTTAAGGGGTCTTTTTTTAGAGAGTCCCTGAGCTCCATCATGCTGGTGTAGGTACCAGTTGTGTTCGGACTGCCAGTTCGGCTTGGGGCACGGTGCCTATTGTTGATATCACACTATATGATTGGCTAGAAGATTGTTGGTGGTGCAGAAATTATGGAAGCGTTTTTTGTCGGATTAGGTTTCATGGGATTGTAGTTCTTTGTAAAAAACATGGACGAATTTTACGAAGCAATCTTTCTCTTCTTATCTAAGGGGATCTACGAAAGCCGGACAATCGCCTCTTTTATGTCGCCAAAGGAAATGTGGAATAAAAGCAAAACTATGTATTGATAAACAGAGCTCCTGCGAACATTTTCTCTTTTTCTTTTTGTGATTTTGTAAATTGTGATTCTCTGTTTTATATGGAGAGAAAATCTCGAGGTCAATCAAATCAACAAACAGAAATAAAGAAAACCGTGATGTAGTTTGCCGTGGTGTGACGTTTTCAACAGGTGCTGGACAGCCTGAACACACCTGGTACCTACACCGTAGCTTTCTCTGGATGCTTCAGTGACTCAATGATGCTTCATGACTGATGCTTCATAAATAAAGATTGATCGATTAATTGATTGACACTGTGTTGTATATGCTTCCCTTACTGTACTGGAACAGTGACTTTAAAACGTGAGGTACTGGACAGTGATTTTGTAAACCATTATAAGCCTAAAACTAAGGCGTCACTCACTGCTAAAAGAAAATTCAAAAACTTCAATTTCCGTTTTTTTCCTTTTGAAAGTTGACCATGTCTGAAATAATCATTTATTTCTCCTCCAGATGCTCCGAAACCTCTTAATGTATCAGTGAATCCTTCTGGTGAGGTGTTGGAGGGCGAAGCTGTGACTCTGACCTGCAGCAGTGATGCTAACCCAGCTGCTAACTATAGCTGGTACAAGAAAAATGGAAAACCAGACCCTAAACCAGGACCACAGCTGGTCTTCAGCTCAATCCAGCCCTCTGACTCTGGAGAGTATTTCTGTAGAGCTGAGAACAGTCTGGGGGAAACGCCGTCTGAGGACATCTGCATAGATGTAAAATGTGGGTGAATCGGCTCACGATGAAACAACCTAAGCTAAAAACGCCTGTACTGTATAAGTGACTCGAGTTTCTGTTTCATGAGTGAATATTTTTCTTTAGATGCTCCGAAGCTTCCCTCTCTGTCCGTGAGTCCCTCTGCTGAGATCGTGGAGGGCAGCTCAGTGACTCTGACCTGCAGCAGTGAAGCTAACCCAGCAGCTACTCACTCCTGGTACAAGAAGAGTGGACCTTTGACTCATCAGTACCTTAGTGAAGGACCAGAGCTTGTCTTCAGATCAGTCCAGTCCTCTGCTTCTGGAGAGTATTACTGTACAGCTGAGAACAGGCTCGGAAATAAGACATCTAACTCGTTTTATATAAATGTGAAATGTGAGTACAGAGCTGTTCTCTTATTATAGTGTGTTGCTTGATGCTTGTAAACTCTTGTTCACCTGGGGTACTCTCTTTTAAGTTTGCTCAGATCTTTGGAAAAATTCATTTTAAACTATTTAAAGTTCATTTTGAGAGTCTAAATGTCTATTTTAAAGCTGGTGAGTCACAGCGTTTGGATATATATGATTATAGACTGTAGACTGTATAAAAACAAGACGTAGGGTCAGTGACACTCCCATTGATTTCTGAAGCAGAGGTTTGAAGCCAATCAAGCCGAACTTGGGGGGACAGAGACTTCTCCGCTGCTGCGCCCACCCTGGGGGAGTCACTCCTCAAACCCATCAGGGACTGTACAGACCCCCATACTTTCAAATCACTCCTAAAAACACACCTTTTTAAAATGGCTGTCAACCTGTAAACGCTCCTTTTATTGTCTTTTCATGTCATGTCTTCTTTAACCTTTTACACTGTTCGTCTTATTACTGTAAAATTTTCTGTATTTTAAATTGTGTTTCTTGTAAAGAGTCTTTGAGCCCCTGTAAAAGCACATTATAAACAAAATGTATTATTATTATTATTATTATTAATTAGTGGCTGTGTCCATATTGGAAATCCTGACTCAAATGATCTTTTAGCTGTACCTCTGATTCACCCTCATTATTTTCTACCAAAAAAAAAATCCACTCCTCACACACCGAGCTTCCTAAAACTCAGATTGAGGTTTTTTTTTTAACTAAACACGTATTATTGCTCCAAAAGTGTCTCTTTTTGGCTTGGTGTGTATGTGGTTTCTGGTGCTTTTGTGGCCAGCCTCTAGTGGACACTCAAGGAACTGCAGTTTTTAGTACCTCCACACCAGCTTCCTTTCTCAAGACCAGAAGGTTGCTGCTTTTTATAGACAGAGATTGTAGCAGCTGCAGCCTAGAGATAATGCACTAATAGACCTTCTCACTCACAGGTCAAAGGTCAAAGTACTTCAGGGTTTTCCATTTACTGTAAAAATTAATGTTTTTTTTTATTTCTCCAGATTTTCCAAGGCCTCTGAGTGTTTCAGTGAAGCCGTCTACTGAGGCGTTGGAAGGCAGCGCTGTGACTCTGACCTGTAGCAGTGATGCTAACCCAGCAGCTAACTATAGCTGGTACAAGAGGACTGGAAAAGTAGACCCTCAACCCATCAGAAAAGGACCACAGCTGCTCTTCAGTTCTGTCCAGTCCTCTGACGCTGGAAGATATTATTGTGCAGCAAAGAATGAGCTCGGGAGCGGGACTTCAGGACTCACCTACATCAATGTTAAACGTGAGTTAAACTCTCAATGTTTCACTTTCAAAGTCATCTTCTATAAACCACTGAGCGTTTACAATAAATGACAGAAAGGTTGACAAGTCTGGAGTTTGAACTGATTTTGAGTTCCCATGATCGTAGTTCCATAAACTGGATTCTGAACCAGGAAGAAAGTGACTTACATGTGATGTGACGGCTGCAAAATAAGAGATTCAATCCAGAGACCATTTCTACTTTGTCTTCTTTGGGCACAGGCGACATTTCTAAGTCATTATAACTTTAAAAATATTGATGTTTGCTTCTCCAGACGCTCCAAAGCCACCGTCTGTGTCAGCAAGTCCCTCTGCTGAGATCGTGGAGGGTAGATCATTGGTTCTGACCTGCAGCAGTGAAGCTAACCCTTCACCGACTTACACCTGGTACAAGAAGAGTGGAAGTATTTACACAAGAACACAGGTTTACTTCAGATCCATCAGTGCCTCAGACTCTGGAGAGTATTACTGCACCGTTGAGAACAGGCTGGGCAAACGGACGTCTGAAACCATCTTTATTAATGTAACATGTGAGTCGATTGTTTCTTTTTTTAAAATATTAAGTCGCTTTCAGGTTGTTTATTCAGATTTTTTTATACGCAAGAGTTTAAGAAACTCTTTTACGGGTTAGGTTTTAAGGGTTTTAAGAGTCCCTGAGCTCCATCATGCTGGTGTAGGTACCAGTTGTGTTCGGACTGCCAGATCGGCTTGGGGCCTGGCGCCGATTGTTGATATCACACTATATGATTGGCTAGAAGATTGTTGGTGGTGCAGAAATTATGGAAGCGTTTTTTGTCGAATTAGGTTTCATGGGATTGTAGTTCTTCGGAGAAAACATGGACGAATTTTACGAGGCAATCTATCTCTACTTATCTAAGGGGATCTACGAAAGCCGGACAATCGCCTCTTTTATGTCGCCAAAGGAAATGTGGAATAAAAGCAGAACTATCTATTGATAAACAGAGACCCTGTGAACATTTTCTCTTTTTCTTTTTGTGATTTTGTAAGTTGTAATTCTCTGTTTTATATGGAGAGAAAATTTCGAGGTGAATTGAATCAAAAAACAAAAATAAAGAAAACCGTGATGTAGTTTGCCGTGGTGTGACGTTTTCACCAGGTGCTGGGCAGCCTGAACACACCTGGTACCTACACCGTAGCTTTCTCTGGATGCTTCAATGACTCAATGATGCTTCATAAATAAAGATTGATCGATTAGTTGATTGACACTGTGTTGTATATGTTTCCTTTACTGTACTGGAACAGTGACGTTAAAACTTGAGGTGCTGGACAGTGATTTTGTAAACCATTATAAGCCTAAAACTAAGGCGTCACTCACTGCTAAAAGAAAATTCATAAACTTCAATTTCCGTTTTTTTCCTTTTAAAAGTTGACCATGTCTGAAATAATCATTTATTTCTCCTCCAGATGCTCCGAAACCTCTTAATGTGTCAGTGAATCCTTCTGGTGAGGTGTTGGAGGGCGACGCTGTGACTCTGACCTGCAGCAGTGATGCTAACCCAGCTGCTAACTATAGCTGGTACAAGAAAACTGGAAAACCGGACCCTAAACCAGGACCACAGCTGGTCTTCAGCTCAATCCAGCCCTCTGACTCTGGAGAGTATTTCTGTAGAGCTGAGAATAGTCTGGGGGAAACGCCGTCTGAGGACATCTGCATGGATGTAAAATGTGGGTGAATCGGCTCACCATGAAACAACCTAAGCTAAAAACACCTGTACTGTATAAGTGACTCTTCTTTGGGCACAGGCGAAATTTTTAAGTCATTATAACTTTAAAAATATTAATGTTTGCTTCTCCAGACGCTCCAAAGCCACCGTCTGTGTCAGCAAGTCCCTCTGCTGAGATCTCAGAGGGTAGATCATTGGTTCTGACCTGCAGCAGTGAAGCTAACCCTTCACCGACTTACACCTGGTACAAGAAGAGTGGAAGTATTTACACGAGAACACAGATTTACTTCAGATCCATCAGTGCCTCAGACTCTGGAGAGTATTACTGCACCGTTGAGAACAGGCTGGGCAAACGGACGTCTGAAACCATCTTTATCCGTGTAACATGTGAGTGAAACAGCTCTTTTATAGGGACTTTTCTCAAATATCCAAAACATTTCTTTTAAGAATCAAAGCTTGTTTTATGAGTTACGAATGTGAGATAATTAAAGCAGGTTCTTTCTAAAGTCTCACATCTCTGTGATATAATAAAACATATCATTCTCCTCCAGATGCTCCAAAGCTTCTCGCTGTATCAGTGAATCCTGATGGTGAGGTGTTGGAGGGCGCAGCTGTAAATCTGACCTGCAGCAGTGATGCTAACCCAGCCGCTCACTATACCTGGTACAACGAGACTGGAAAACCAGGTCTTCAGCCTCTTGGACAAGGACCACAGCTTGTTTTCAGTTCAATCCAGCCCTCTGACTCTGGAGAGTACCACTGCAGAGCTGAGAACAACCAGGGGAGCGGGACCTCTGAGCACATCTCTATCGATGTGAAATGTGAGTCAAACAGCTGTTTCAGTCTGACGCTTCAAATCACTGATGTTTTAATAAAGTCAAATGTCAAAATCCGTCTCCAGATGCTCCAAGACTTCCCTCCGTGTCAGTGAGTCCCTCTGATGAGATCGTGGAGGGCGCCTCAGTGACTCTGACCTGCAGCAGTGATGCTAACCCTGCACCTGTTTACACCTGGTTCAAGGAGAACGGAGACTCTCCAACAGCTTCAGGACAGACTTTCAACATCACCGACTTCAGAGCCGAACACAGAGGGAATTATTTCTGCGAGGTCAAGAACTCAGTAGGAGGCCGTAACTCCACCTTACACCTGATTGTTGTGGCAGGTAAGATATAAACCGCTGCAGGTACCAGGATCTGCTGCTTCTGTGTCCTCAGGCTGAAATGTCCATCTCATGGGGCGCTCACACCAAGGGCGAGCCAAATCATTCACGCAGATGAATTACATATTAAGTCGATGCAAAGACACGATTAGACGCTCCTACTACTCTGGCGGACGTGAATTCTCAAGAGTTAAAAATATCTCAATTTGAGCGGATACTCGCATCACGATCACCGATCAGCACAAAGATTTAAAACAGACCGGAAGATGAAGATATCTCAACTCAAACGACGGTTTGCATCGTGATAACCAAAGAATCCATGAGATTTCAGGGTGACGGATGAAAATGGACCGTAAGATGTGAAAATATAAACACAAATAGAAAGACGCTCTGCAGCTGGGGTAGAGCGCCTGTAATCGGTATCCTAGAGGGTTATCCTGGCACTGACCCTCACCAACAGGCCGTCAAATTGGGTTCAGGTAACCTGAAGATACCGCTGGAAACGACCATCATCTGGGCGCAGCTATTGGAGGAGACCCAGACACGGCGACGCCTACATCTCTCCAACATTTGTTGTCCTTCATCAACAAAAACAGAACAGCGATCCGGTGAACGTGGTTCACTCCGACCAGGCTTGATGGAGACTCTCCCTCTCTCTCATATCCACGGATTTTAAAATAAAAACAGGAATAAAAAGGAGCTCGCCTTGAGGAAAGAGAGTGAGGAGGTCGGATTATCTGGTAAAATGTTGTTGTCTATCACATGATCCCACCAGTTGAATTGGCTGGGATCACTGTTGAAATGAGCATATCCACGCGACACGCAAATTATTCGCCCGAATGAAGCGACTAAATACTTTTATTCACGCATCTAGAAACGCTTCACTGAACTCCTCGTGGTTTGAATTCTAGCAAAGTGAGAATTCAGATCTTAAGTTAATTGACTTTAAAACAAGAACATGACTAAAGTGTGAGATACATGAAAGTCAGAACAGGCATGATCCTCAGTCTATTTAACATATTTGTTTTTAATTCCAGGTCACTCATCGACAACAATGAATATCTTCAGGTTGATTCTGGCGCTCTTGGTTCTGATTCCTCTGTGTTTCCTGATCCTGACAGTTTGGTAACATTTAGAAAAGTGAACCCGTCACATCTCTTTGGTTTCTCTCTCTGAACTCGCCATCATCTCAGTATCTTTTATTTCATTTAAGGAGGAAGTCCACCACTGAGCCACCAGGTAAATCTGCAGACGAACCTGCAGAGACCGTAGAGGTGAGACAGTTTCATGAATCAAGACTTTGTAAACGAATGAAGATGTTTATTATGATATGATAAGTGATGTAGCTCAACTGGACTCCAAGTAGGTAAAAGTTTCTCTCTCTCATAGGAAATAATTTCTGTGACAAAACAGATTCTTGATCAGATCTCATCCTTTGTCATCAGCTAACCTCCACTCCTGTGTATGAGGACCTTCCTGTCGTCATGGATACGCAGACAGAAGACATGGTGGAGCAGGAGGACAGAGTGTGAGGTGAGGTTCAGTCAGGTCAGAGGCTCCTCAGATCGGGTTCATGGTCCGAGTCTCCAAGTTTAAAGCAGAACTCTTTTTTTACTCTCTTTACTTCAGATACAGTTGATCCAGAAGGAGGGTTCACTGTGGACAGCGAGGCTGTAGAGGATGTGGAAATACGTCCCTGAATGCATCATGAATTTCCTGTAGAGTTCTGATTTATGTACTTTAGATTATGAAAAGAGCTCAGCGTTTAGAGGCTACACCTCGCTCAATGTGAGAATGTCAAGCTTTTCTGCGGCTGATTCAACAAGTCGAGGTCGACTGGAAAAATGATGGAAACTGTTCAAAAAAAAAAAAAAAACAATTAAAAAAATAAATAAAGGTAAGACTTAAAACACACGTCAAAGATCTGGATGAATGACAATGACGTACGTCCAAAAATCTACCAAAGTAACTATATTTTTAAATTTGATTTTAATTTATAATAAAGATTCTGAAGCAGAGGTTGTTTAAAGTTATATTTGAAGTTCATAATTATCTCTTCATCTAAAGTCTGAAACAGGAAACTAAACATTGTAGGTTTTTTTTTAACTTTCTCAGATAAAATAAAAAATCAAACCCAGTTACTTTCATGTGTTATGAAAGATGATTTTAGAAACTGTGGGATAATTAGCCTTTAAATGACTGAGTCTGTTTTCAGTGTAACACAATAGAAACCAGAGTCTTAAGAACAACCAGCAGGTGGCAGCCTTTCACTTTTTATATTCTTATTGTTGGGTTATATCTGTCCCAAAACTGCAAATGTATAACTGTATAAATGAAAGCTTTTATTTTTTTTTACAAACCTCCAAGTTTAACAAAGATTTTCAATGTTAAAATAAAATAAAAAATTAATAAATATAACAATATACTGAAATAAAACACAAAAAAACACGTCTTTGGGTGCATTCTTGCTCATTTTCTGTTCTTTTCATTCTGACTTTGCAACGGTTTTGACGCTCTTTCAGTCTCAAGCCGCGTTCAGACCAAACGCGACCTGAGGCGACCAAGTCGCGTAGGTCAGTCACGTCGCGTCGCGCCCTGGTGTGTTCACACCGGGTCCAAAGCTGTGGTCGCAGGACGCGGCTGGTCACCGATGACCCGCTTCTCCCACCTTCCTTCTCCCTCCTTTTCTCCCTCATATATACATCCCGCAGCCCCTTCCAGCGCTTGCGGCACACATCCACTGCAAACACACACACACACACACACACACACACACACACACACACACACACACACGTTGAAACATGTAGCCTAGCAAGCAGGGGCAGTTTACTATGTTTTCAGAAAATAGTCTGCTCACTGAAATAAACAAACAAACTTAACAGAAAGCCCGACATCATGGGCCACCTTTGCCCATGCCTCCTCCTTGGAGGTGCGGTCCCAGTAGAGCACGCACCCCATGTCGTACGGGACCGGGTGATAACTCACGGCAGTGAAAAGCTGCTCCTCCATTGTGATTCTTCGTCTCCTCCTCCTTGCTTCGCCGGTTTGTTGACGTCAGCAGAGCCCTGATTGGCTGTTGCGGCACTGAGTCGCGACTTGGCTTCCTGTGACCTTGGGCGACGCGACGTTGGCGACCATGCGCTACTTGGTCGCCGAGGTCGCTCTGGATGGTGGATGTGTAGAAGGTCCTCAGCAGCTCCACTCCAACGTTGTTCTTCCTGAGCACTCTCAGGAAGAACAGGCGCTGCTGGGCCTTTTTGATGACAGCTCTGGTGTTCTCAGTCCAAGAGAGGTCAGCTGAGATGATGGTGCCCAGGAGCTCGAAGCTGTGGACCCTCTCTACCCAGTCACCATTTATGCTGAGGGGGGGCAGCTCAGATCTGTGCCTCCTGAAGTCCACAATGACCTCTTTTGTCTTTGTGGTGTTTAAAATCAGGTTGTGAGTCTGACACCACACAGACAGATTCCGGACTTCATCCCTATAGGCAGACTCGTCTCCACCTGTGATCAGCCCCACCACCGTGGTGTCATCAACGAGGGATCGATGAGTGGCAGGGGATATTTGTTTTTAATGGTGATCTCATTGAGTCCGCGGAAGTCGATGCAGGGACGGAGAGAGGAATCTTTTTTCTTCGCAAAGAAAAAAACAGCAGCAAGGGGAGAGGATGAGGGCCGGATGAGTCCAGATGTCAAGGAGTCCTGGATGTATTCCTCCATGGCCTCTCGGTCGGGCAGAGAGAGATTGTACAGTCTGCTGCTGGGGAGAGGGGCGCCAGGGAGCAAATCTATGGCGCAGTCATATGGGCGATGAGGAGGAAGGACGAGAGACTGCTCCTTACTGAAAACCATGGCCAGATCATGGTAAACGGGGGAACAGAGGCAAGGGATGGCGGTGGTGATGCTGACCTCTGTCGGTGGATGTAGGGATTGGCGGAGCAGAGGCAATGAGAGTGGCAGTGAGGACTCCAGGCGGAGATTGAAGCTGTGGACCGGTTAATTTGGGGGTTGTGGATCTGCAGCCACAGGAGTCCAAGCACAAGGGGTGAGTGCGGAGAGGGAAGCAGGAACAACCTCACGATGGTTTCCCGAGAGGATGAGGGTGAGAGGAGTAGTGCAGTGGGTTATGGTGGCTATTAGGCCTGCACGATATATCGTTTGAGCATCGTCATCGCGATGTACGTGTGTGCGATAGTCACATCGCAGAGCCTGCGATGTCGGAGGTGAATGAACTCAGTTAATTTCAAGGGTAGCTGACTGAGATACACGGCATGTGACTCTGCATGTGCTGTGCAGCGATCCACCAATCGCCTTAGTCCTTAACTCAGTTGCCAATCAGACTCAGTTCTCAGTTGCCAATCAGACTACCCTGCCAACTGTCAATCAAAATCAGAGAGGAGGAAACCCACCCCTGCACATGTCCTTCACATGCAGTTAGTCGCTGGCTACCGGAGTTGAGCCGAGAAACGCGTGTCCGCTAAGAATTACTTTCGGAACTTTACTCATGACTGTTAAGCCCAACAAATAAGAACTGTATGGGTTTTAAATTGTACATTTCCGTGGACCACTCTACAATAAGCGGTGCGCGTTTTGTGAGGTGCATGCAATTCTCGGAGGACATGCGTTTCTCAGCACAACACCGTTAACAACAACAACAACAACAACGATTGCAAACTGAGCAACAAACAGAAAAAACCACAGAAGATGAAGATTTGTTGCCCAAAAGAAAAGGAAAGTCAGTTATCTGGAATTATTTCGGTTACAAGATGGATAATGTCGACCAAAACACGTGTTCTGTGTTCATCTGTTGCCACCATAACATCCCAGAACAATAAAAGCAATGTTAATTTTTACCAATATCGTGCAGCCTTAGTGGCTATAACCCTGTCATCGAGAGCGGTGACCTTACGGGGGGCAGGGAGTGCCTCCAGGGGGAGCTGTAGCTGCGCTGCCAGTCCGGCGTGAATAAAGTTGTCATCCGCCCCGGAGTCAATGAGGGTTTGGAGGGACGTGGTTTCTTTTCCCCAAAGGAGACAGGCAGGGACGGTGATACGCCTGGGAGAGCTGGAGGTAGAAGAGGTGTGGCTGATTTGCATCGGTTCTCCGGCAGAGAGTGCCGGAGCCAGAGGAACTGAGGGCTGCAGAGAAGACCCGCTGACCGCGACAGAGGATGGGGAGTCTATGCTACGGGTAGGGGAATTTAATTTCTTCTCCCTCCGTCTCTCCCTGAGGCGATTGTCTAACCTAATGGCTAGAGTGATTAGCTCCTTAAGTGAGGAGGGTTCATCACGAACCGCTAGCTCATCTTTAAGCTGTTCAGACAGACCACGAGAGAATATTCCCTTTAATTCTAGTTCCCCCCACCCACTCTCGGCCGCCACTGTGCGGAACTCAATAGAAAATTCCGCCACATACCGAGAGCCCTGGGTGAGGGAAAACAACCGTTTCCTGCATTCGGGACCCTCGACAGGATAATCGAACACTTTGCGAAGTTCCTCAGTGAATCTGGCGTATGAGGACAACATCGGTGAACCCTTATCCCAAATAGCAGTAGCCCACTTAGTGGCTTTGCCTCTCAGCAGGTTCACGGTGTAGGCTATCTTGGACCAATCCGAGGGATAACTAATTGGCTGTTGATCAAACACTAATGCAGAGTGGAGCAGGAAACCTCTGCAGCCCCCAATCTCCCCAGCGTACGGCTCAGGAGGAGGGACATAGGGCTCTTTAATGCTAGGAGAGGGTGGAGAAAGTGGAGAGGGAACCGTACACACAGAGGGGGGAGACCCATGCTGTGTCCGAATTGCCTGCTCACATACTACATGCTACTGCTACATACTACTGCTAGAGCCTACTCCTACATACTAAACACGTTGGCCCAATTCGGACACACTAGACGAGCGGTGGGGAAAGACGACCCCCGCAGGCAGAGAGTAGGTACTGCGCCCGTTTTAGACTCTTTGAATGGTAATTGTGCAAGTGATGGATGCTGCTGTATTATATTCCTGCACTGCTTCAGAAATTCACAAAGTAGCTTTTCCATTACTTTTAGCCTTCATTCACTCACATGGTGATCGTTTGTTCAATGAGATCTGCCTGATTACTGCAGCTGTGCAGTTTAATGATGGAATAAGTGAGCTTTACCTCCACGATGTCGCCACATATTTGCTCATAAAATGATTACTTGGGCAAATATGACACCATGACATGACAAAGAGATACAACCGCACATTTTTTAGGATAGTGTGTGAAGTTACATGAGACTTACATCTGTACTGCTGCGGTCCCGCCTGCTGCTGCTGCTGCTGCTGCTCCGACATGGTGCGCGCTGCTGTGGAGCAGCCGGCGTTCGCGACGCATCTAAATAGGCAGCAGCTGGTGGCGCTAGCATCACATGCGCATCTGAATCCCATATTGTTACTAGAACCTCGTAGCAGACTACAGAGACTTCAGGGGCTTGAAACCATAGGCCGGAGCATCGCAAACACTGGGTTTAGCTAAAGGCCTTAAATACAAGCGTACGGCGACACAGCAATTGCGCACTTAAATATTGGACAGTCTAGACAGAGCAGAAGAAGCAGTCTCACTGCTACTCTGAACAACGTTTCACGCTGTCCAGATCAAACACAGACTACAGGCATGTAGTACAAAAGTGTGTGAAACACAGAGCATAAAGGTTTTATGCAGTGCAAAGAGGAAGGAAGCTGGTGTGGCTCTCAACAGATTTCTGTTCGATGAGCATGAGTCGCCCTAGCACAGAAAAAAGTGTGACGTTAAACACGTACTGTCTTTTTATAAAGTGACACATTTACAGTGACTTACAGATGAAGAGTTGTTCCTGATCGTGATTGAACAGAGCAAACAGAAGCAGCGATGAGTCTGACAGCAGCGATGAGAGCATATGCTGTCTTCCTTCTCCTCATACAAGGTAATCTGTTTTTATTTATTTTCTTTACACTTTTAAACTCACTGGAAGTCGTTGTTTTGAACTGCAGACAAAATATGTCGTGTGTAATGTTTTACTGTCTTTACAGCATCAAAAATTCACTCTTCCTGTAAACTTAAGTGCTTACAAGATGTTCAGAAAGACGTCTTCCAGAAAATATTCAGCTTTAAGTGAACTGTTTGATATGAAACTGATCGTTGTGCAATCTTAGCTTCAGTCAGAGTCTACTGATGAGTCTCATTTTCATGATTTGAACAAGAAACACAACATTAACACAACATGCAATCATTTTTATTGATCTAATACCAATAACCGTCAGATATGAGTTCAAATTAGTCAATCTTTATTTATTCACTTAGCAAGTGTTATCCAAGGACGCTCAACAATGAATCTAGTCCAGACCAGGCTCTGATCAAAGACCTAATGAATAGGTGGGATCAGACCTCAGTGTTTCCCTTATAGTGCACCCAACAAGATCCCAACCCAGAAATTCAAGTCGTGGATTAATGTATATGTTAAATTTTTATTTTTATCAAATCAGCCTGTAAAATATAATTTAATTAGATTAGATTAGACAGATTTATTGGTCCCTGTGGGAAAATTTGTCTTTACCGACTGTACATTACATAAGAAGACAAAAATGCACATCACATAGGACAGACCTTAAGGAACAGACAACTAATGACAAACACCCGGACAACAGCAGTCGGCAACAAGCAGCAAGGAGGCAACAGGACCGATTATTCACGGGGGCCGACTATTCAGGGCATCTATAGCTGCAGGGACCAGGCTTTTCCTAAAGCAGGCCTTGCGAAACCTCAGGGTTCCGTACCTGCGCCCTGAGGGTAGGAGGTTGAAGTATTTTTTGAGTGGGTGAGTGGCGTCTTGTGTTATGGAGTTTGCTATGCATGTGATGGATGGACCCGTTGTTCAGTTCTGTGAGGTTGGGTGTGGGTAGACCAATGAGTTTAGATGCTGTATTTGTAATGCGTGTGAGTTTGGCCCAGTTGGTGACAGAAAGCCTGATGAGGAAACATGTAGAACAGTACAGAAGGATGGGTTGGATAATACTTTGATATAGCAACAACAGGAGGTGTGGAGCAACACATAGTCCTTTGAGTTTGCAGATGACTGATAGGCGTTGTTGACTTTTTTTGTATGTCCGTGGTGTGCTGATCAAAAAATGAAAATGATGCAGCTTCTGGCTCAGCAGGTGTTTTTGTATTGAGTTAAAGGCAGAGCTGAAGTCCACGAAGAGAATCCTGGCTCAATTTCAGACCTCCAAGCAGAGAGCAGGGACTAATCAGTGAAATCACCTGGTGGAGTTTTGGGTTGGAAAGAAAACCTGCAGCCTTTCAGCCCTCCATGGCACATGATTGCCCACCCCTGGTTTAGAGAGAGTAGAGAGGGAGAGATGGAAGGAAGTGAGATGAATGCATGTATATAAATCAGCTGGAAAGCAGACAGGTCCACAGCAGCGATCCAGAGGATGGGACCGGATGATTCAGAGTTAATGACACAGACAGAGAGAGGATGGACCCAAATATTGAGTCATTCTTTGCAGAAAATGGAAATGTTCAAGCTAAAATGTTAAAGAGTAAAACTTGCTCATACATTTAAATTTGAGGGGTATTATTAGGTGGATAGATGTTCAGAAAAGTGACTTTTTTCAAAGTACTACAGAGGCTCTGAGGCTGAAACATGCCGGATGTTCATGCTAAAATGACTTTGATGTGAACCCAAACTGCAGCTGTTAATTTCCTCTGCTAATTCCAGTGTTTCCTGTTGCTGAGCTCTAAATAGTGAATCTTGAGTCAGGAAGAGCCAATAATAACTGTGGTTACATGTACAGTAAAACCCAAAACCAAGAGGAAGAAATCCATCTCATTCAGGAACTTTTTCTATGTCTTCAACTTCCCCAGAGGTCAGATATAATCAGAGAAAAAAACATAATTATCCTCCATTTTTGTCTTTCTTCTGTCTGTTATCTTCTTTTCACACTTGTTGCCCACACACACTCTCTCTCAGAAGTTTCCACTCACACCCTGCTGCAGCCTCACCACAGACAGGAAACCGACCAAGAAAACACGACTTCTCTCTGTTCAAGTCTGTTTTACATACAAAGTGTTAGTCTCTAAAGGTTCTCACTGTACCTTCTCTATGTTGTTCTGGTTCAGTGAATTAATAGCTGAGATGGAAACATTTGTGCACCTTTGTTTCTCTTTAAAGTAGACCTTAAAAACTTACAGATTTCTATTCCTTTTTTATTAATATGTGCGTACAAATGCAAACCCTTTCAGTCACTATCATTCCACTACTGTTGCATTCTTTTTGATTATAGTCTGGCTCTCTGATTGAGGGTCAGGGCCCAGGAGTTGTGCTTTATAAATGAGACCTAGGTCCTTCTCCAGAAACCTGAAGTCTGAAACACTCCCCAGACCGTTCCCAGTCATGTAAACAGGAAGTGGATCAGAATTCTTCTTCCTTGGCTAAAGTAAATGTACTCGGGGTAGGGCTGCATAATCGTCTCTCAAAACCAAACCACTGAAAACGATGTAGTTCATATGCCAAGCTAGTAGGTGGCGCTGTAACGCTGCACAGGAAATGCACAAAGACAGAAGAAGAGTACAGAGCATGTGTATAAAGGTTGTTTTGGCGCCATAAAAGAGTTACTCTGTGTGTCACATGATCGTTTCCAGAGATGCAGATAGACATCCACACGGAGATGAAATGGTCGTCGTTTACAGATTTATTCACTCTCTGACCCGTTTTCAAAAAGTACCGTTTACAGTCACCTGAAACGCCGATACGACAAAAAACTTTAGCGTTTCCTCCTGAATTAGTTTCCATGGTGACGGGTTGATACCGCCTTCAGACAGACTTTACAGCGGGGAGTGGTTTACTCTAGTGATGCACGATATGAAAATTTCAACCGATACCGATAACCGATAATTTTCTTCTTCTCATGGCCGATACCGATACCGATAACCGATAATTCATATTTTTACATTTATCATAATCTTCATATAATCTGCAGTTTGTGCAGGATGCAGCGATTGAAAACTGATATTTTTGTTGCTCTGGCCTATCTAGAACAACAAACTAAAGTTTTTGGCTCTTCAAATGTGGTCATTTGCTATAAATAACAATAACAGAGCAAAAAGCAGAACTTCATTTGATCCCCTGAACTGTTCAACAGAACTGTAAACTGTAAAGGAGCTATTATGAGACGTTAGGATTAGCATGCTGACCGGACTAACATCTGACGTCCATATGTCTGTGGTAAAACTCACGTGTAGTCCGTTCTTGTCGATCAGGTTGTGAATGTATGTGGCGACAATATCATAGAGTGCAGGAAGAGACACATCCGAGAAGAAGCGGCGGCTTGGGAGAGTGTAACATGGCTCAAAGTGTGCTATGAACTTACGAAAACCCGGGTTCTCAACGACGGAAAAAGGCTGGTCGTCGACCGCTATGAACTCCATCACTTTGTCGTTAATGGCTTTAGCCTTTTCGCTGTCTCTTGAGAAGCTTTTGCAGTTTTTAAACGCCCGCTGAATGGGGACATCGATCCTCCGTAGTGTTGTTGTCTTAGCTTTAGTACCGCTAGCAGCTTCGGCGGCTGTCTCATATTCTTTTAATACCGCTTCGCCGCGATGGCGACTTTTCAGATGAGCTATCAGATTCGTTGTGTTAAAACTTGACGTCTTCTTTCCTCCTCTCGGAATCCTCGCTGAACAGGTTTTGCATATAGCAGCTGTTGTCATCTTCTGCCACTGAGAAAAACGACCATGCTGGTGAAGACATTTTATTATCTGTCAGGTAGTGACGGGGTCAGGCTTGGGACCTGCGAGTAAGGCGCGATAGACGACGTGACCAGCGCGTCTCGGACGGGCGGCTACTCCGCCTGCAAACGTTACTCGTAATTTCATTAATATATCGGATCTTTCTATCGGAAAAATGCACCTATCGGACCGATAAAAAATGACGTAATTTCCCCCCAAATCGGCCGATATTTTATCGGTCCGATAAATATCGTGCATCCCTAGTTTACTCTTCATCTGAAACTGTGAAGTCGTACCAATTCAACACGACTGACTCGCTCTTGTCCTATTTAACCACGAAATTATCGCCTTCTTTTGCAAACGCCATGTTTGTTTACACTGGTGTGTGTGGGAATTGGGGAGCGCTCTGCAGAATGGGGGAGGCTACGGTGGTATGAAGGAGCAAGACATGAAAGAGAGGAAAATCAATTTGAGGATTTTAATTTTTTAACATCATCATAATTAAATAATCCGATTATGATTTAAAATCGATTAATCATGTAGCCCTAATTCAGGATCAGGCTGTACTGCTTGCACCATGCTGACCTCTGAACCCTATCCCTGTCTCTTCCAGAGACTGACCACAGCTCTGTTATGTACAGGTTTGCTCAGATTGTGGTTTCTGGTTGGTCAGAGTCGACCTTAAAAAGGATTTTAGGCTGATTACCAAACGTGAAACCCAAAACTGTTTGGAATGATGACAAAATAAATTACACAGATTGGCTAAAACATAAAAATCTGCTGAATCAGATTAATTTAATTACAATCTCCTGCAACAAAACAACCTGTTACAGTAATCATACCTTTAACATTGGCAACTTCTCTATGAACAACTCAGTTTCCTGCTGCTGTTTATAATCCATGTGTCCTGGTGTGTTCTGTGTTTCAGTGGTTCAGAATCAGGATGGCTGGGGAGTGACTTACACCTCGAGTAATATCTGTGCCCCAAAAGGATCTACAGTGGTCCTAAGATGCTCCTATGACCACCCGTCCACGAGAAATGGACAACAGCTAACAGTCCAGGAATCATTCTGGTTTAAGGTGAAGTATGGAGAACCTGCAGATCTGACGACAGACTCTGAGTACAGAGGTCGTGTGACTTACAGTTGTCAAGAGAAGACCTGTAGTCTGACAATCACAGACCTGAGACAGAGTGACTCAGCTGAGTACAGGTTCAGGTTCATCACAAACCAACCTGGTGGGACATATACTGGTGATCCTGGAGTCACTTTGACCGTCACAGGTGAGGTTTTTATCCATATGATAATTATATGAAATCCAGGATATAGTGCTGGTGGCATTTCACAGCTGTGTTTTAAATCGTACATCCTCATATCATCACCACTGCAAGTATCAACACATCATCTTACACATAGAACCGCAATATCATCATCAGCACCGCTGTCACCATCTTTAACTCTAAACCACCAACTGCTGAGTCGTTCCCAAAGGGCCAAGTACCTTTCATTGGCAGAGAGGGAGTGTAGACCCTAATGAGGGATTTTGGGTAGACAGGACCATGAAATATGGTTTTGAATGTGATATGAGCTGCAGTTTTAGTGGAGGGGCCTCACCTAAAGCCTGACTGATTTAGATCAAACTGCAGTCGTTGTTCATGAGTTTAAAAACCAAATTAAAGACTGTGCACTCAAGAACTTTAGACAGAAAAGGCAGAAGTGAAACTGGCCTGTAATTGTCAACCTGGGCGGGGTTTTATAAGCAAGTGTTTGAAGACTGAGGGGAGAAAAACAGATGAAAGACAGGAGTGTGTGATTTGGGTTATTGTGGGATGAGTGTAGGCGAGGATGAGAGTGGTGCCACCTAGTGGAGGCTGCAGGCTGAGTTGATCAATCACAAAGAATTTATTTCTGATGGTAGAAATCTTCTCAGTGAAGTACGAGGTAAACATATCTGGAGTCAGCGAGGTGGTAGTGATGATACTTTTGTGTACATCCATGTGTTTGTCTACAGTGTCCTGTAAAATATCTAACTGTTCTCTCTTCAGGTCTCCAGGTGAGAAAATATTCTTCTTCTTCTACATATTGCTGGAGCAGTTGTCCTCAGCGTTCTCAGCTCTCCTACATCTGGTACAAAAATGGAGAGGAAATTAAAGGAGAAACTTCACACTATTATTCAGACTACTTAAGCTCTTCAGACAGTTATTCCTGTGCTTTACAAGGATATCCAGATTTCCCCTCTCCTCCATTCTGTGAGTTTAATTTAAAATCTGCCTGACAGCATCTGATGATCGTGACTTCAATCATAACTGCTTAACAATTATGATGATCAATGTCTTTCTTTCATCTAGGTGTCAATAATGATCGGTGTAACAGAGTGACCTACACTAAAAGGAAAATCTGTGCCTTCAGAGGATCATCAGTGGATATTTCTTGTACTTACAGCAGTTATTATGGGATCAATTCAAAGTTCTGGTTCAGATCTGGACCTCCTCAGGATCATCCTCAGGACCTAAAACAAGACTCCCGGTATTCAGGCCGTGTTTCGGTTTCTGAACCATGGGGAGGACGCTCCACTCTGAGGATCTCTGACCTGAAAGATACTGACTCAGCAGAATATCGATTCAGATTCACTTCAGGAGACTTTGAATGGAGGAGCAGGTTACACGGTACAACTCTGACTGTCACAGGTACTTATTAACACAAACTGACAGAAATACACCGACACAGCACCTGTTGATCTGTAGATTTAGATTTTTGGTTGAGCAAACCATCTTTTTAGAGCAGCAGGACAGCAAACGGACAAACAGGAGAACTACAAAATGCAAACAGTCCGTACCTATTTGTTGTCAAGATATTGTTTACTTAAAAAAAAACAAAGTGAAGCTTTTTTCCACCTCTAAATGAGCAGGTCAACACACCTTCCTGTGAAGAATAAATCCCAGAACTAAGTCATGTTGTGCACACAGATTTTTAAGTATATTTTCTTTGACTTTCAGGTTTTGCAACTGTCAAAATATTACCTGGCTTCAACCGTTGATTACTAAACCAGAGACGCGGACATTGTTTCTTGTTCTCATGTGCAGCTTTACAGGTTCAGGTGAAGAAGATAACAGCTAGCGGGACTTCCACTCAGGTAGAGCTGAGGTGTCTCAGCAGCTTCAGTCCGGCTGATCCTCTTTCATACGTCTGGTACAGTAATGGACAGACTGTCTGGGAGGTGACGTCTTCTTCTTATACAGCCTGGTTTCCTCTTGGAGTAGAAATCTCCTGTGCTTTAGAAGGACGTGAAAGATTCCACTCTCCACCAGTGTGTGAGTTTACCTTTACCACTGTCAGCACTGCACAACACTACTACAATAATTTGAGTCTAAGTACAAAACCCAATTCCATTGAAGTTGGAAATTGTGATAAACATAAATATAAACAGAATATAATGATTTGCAAATCCTTTTCAACTTATATTCAATTGAATACACTACAAAGACATTTAATGTTCAAACTCATAAACTTTTTTTTTTTTTCAAATAAAAATTAATTTTAGAATTGACAAAGAAGTTGGTAAAGGTGCAAAAAATACTGAGAAATTTGAGGAACACTCATCATACACCAATCTGGACCGTCCCACAGGTGAGCAGGTTAATTGGAAACAGGTGGGCGTCATGATTGGGTATAAAAGCAGCTTCCCCAAAAATTCTCAGACATTCACAAGAGAGGATGGGGCGAGGTTCACCACTTTGTCAACAACTGCGTGAGCAAATAGTCGAACAGTTTAAGAACAACGTTTTTCAAAAGTACAATTGGAAAAAATTTAAGGATTTCAACATCTATGGTCCAAAATATCATCAGAAGGTTCAGAGACTCTGGAGAAATCACGGCACGTAAGCGGCACGACTGGGAACCAACATTGAACGCCCGTGACCTTCGATCCCTCAGGCGGCGCTGTATCAAAAACCGACACCAATGTGTAAAGGATATCACCACATGGGCTCAGGAACACTTGAGAAAACCACCGTCAGTAAATACAGTTCATTGCTAAATCTGTAAGTTAAAACCATAGACTGTATATAAGATGGACGCCGTGGTTCCGCCTTCCGCCTGTATACGGATTTGAAGCCAAAAAGCTCTCAGTAATTCCGGGTTTTTCTCCACTTCCTTGAAACCAGAGCTGTGCAGTAGCGTTGTGCGCATTCGGCCGCGCAGTCGCCGAGAGTCCCTGTGATGACGCTCGGCTCAAACAGCGTATTCCCCCGGGAGAGCTACACAATCCCTGAATGCCCATAGGCTGTACCAGGTGTCAATCATAGAAAACATGAACCCCCTAATAACTTTTAAAAATGGAGCTGTACAGAAAAAAGAGGACTTGAGCACAAACCAGTCTGACAGTAACTACATGTCAACATCACAACCAGGGGGGAGAAACATTTATATTCTGTGTCATTCATTTATAAAGTTTGTCCACAGCTCCATAAGGAGGCGGGGTTTATGACCTATACTGCAGCCCGTCACCAGAGGGCGCTGTTCTCAGAGTGGCTTCACCCAGAGAGGAGGCAGACTCTGTCCATCCTATGTACAGTCTATGGTTAAAACTCTACTAAGCAAAGAGAAATCCATTTATCAACAACATCCAGAAACGGCGCCGGCGGCTTCTCTGGGCCCAAGCTCGTCTAAGATGGACTGATGCAAAGTGGAAAAGTGTTCTGTGGTCTGACGAGTCCACATTTCAGATTGTTTTTGGAAATAGTGGACGTCGTGTCCTCCGGGCCAAAGAGGAAAAGAACCATCCGGACTGTTATCGACGCAGAGTTCAAAAGCGTCTGTGATGGTATGGGGGTGCATTAGTGCCCAAGGCATGGGTAACTTACACATCACAACTTACACAATGTTGTGAAGGCAACATTCATGCTGAAAGGTACATACAGGTTTGGGAGCAACATATGCTGCCATCCAAGCAACGTCTTTTTCATGGACGCCCTTCCTGCTTATTTCAGCGAGACAACGCCACGCCACATTCTGCACGTGTTCCAACAGCGTGGCTTCGTCGTAAAAGAGTGCGGGTACTCGACTGACCTGTCTGCAGTCCAGATCTGTCTCCCATTGAAAATGTGTGGAGCATTATGAAGAATAAAATACGACAACGGAGACCCCGGACTGATGAAGAACTGAAGCTGAACATCAAGAATGGGAAAGAATTCCACCTTCAAAGCTCCAACAGTTCGTCTCCTCAGTTCACAAACGTTTACTGAGTTTGTTAAAAGGTGATGGAACACAGAGGTAAACACGACCCTGTCCAACTACTTTGTCACGTGTTGCGGCCATGAAACTCTGAGTTAATTATTTGCAAAAAAAAAAAAAAAAGTTTATGAGTTTGAACATTAAATATCGTCTTTGTAGTGAATTCAACTGAATATGCATTTCTGATGGACTATTATCACTGACAGGAGTGATGTGAAGGAGAGTCTGGAGAGTTGGAAAAAGTAAGAAAACTAAAGTTCGCAAAATGATATATATCAAAGAGGAAACTCCCCTCAAATTTAAGATGTACTGAATTTACCTTCCGGGATCAGCAAAGTTCTTCTTCTAGTTTACTTACTTTTTCAAACTCTCCAGACTCTCCTTCACATCACTCCTGTCAGTGATAATAGTCCGTCAGAAACACTGGTGGTAGTTTACCCATATCTCATTCCGCTGCAAGATTTCTTCTGGTGTTGTTATTTTTTTGTGTTGTGGCTGTTTGCATTCATGTTTTTTTCTTTTGCAAAGCGTTTTGAATTTGCAAATTTCCTGACACTTCCTGGCCACCTTAAAAAAGGTCTCCTTAAAACAAACACTCATAGGTGATAAAAACTACTTCTCCAAGTAATGCAAGTTGAAATCTTCCTCAGATGCTCCAAAGGATCCTTCGGTGTCCTCTGACTCCTCTGCTGAGATAATGGAAGAGAGTTCAGTGACTCTGACCTGCAGCAGTGATGCTAACCCAGTAGCTAACTTCACCTGGTACAAGAAGAACAAAGATTCAGACTCTCAACCTTTCAGTAAAGGAGCTCAGCTGGTCTTCAGCTCCATCCAGTCCTCTGACTCTGGAGAGTTTTACTGTGAAGCTGAGAACCAGCTGGGAAAGAGGAGATCAGAGCCCTTCATCCTCGATGTGAAATGTGAGTCAGAAAAGACCAAAAATCTTCATCTGTCCTGTCACTGCTGAAGACGTTATTTCTGATGATTTCTGATTTCTGCAGCTTTCACGCTCAACCGTCACAACATTAGCTTACTGAGAGGCTGTGGGAAGTTTCTTTCATACTGTGTTCACCAATTGTAATTCACCAATAACACCTTTAAAGGACAAAATAAGCTAAAACTGTCCACACAGGTGCCAGAATTGACTCACCCTCAAAGCTTTGAGTTAATTCATGAAGACTCAGCCCTTTGTTACAGTCCTGTTATTTCCACATAGATGCACAAGGTACTTTTTGAGAGACACCATGTCACAGTAAGGTTTAATGTTAGCCCACTGTGGAAATATAAGACACTCAGAGAACGTTCTCCAAGGGAAAGATAATTAAAGCCTGCTGCGAAAACAGCTGATGCCTCAAAGTCCTGTTACCAAAGACTGATGAACTTTTTGTTTTTGTGATCCAGATGCTCCAAAGGTTCCTTTGGTGTCCTCTGACTCCTCTGCTGAGATAGTGGAAGAGAGTTCAGTGACTCTGACCTGCAGCAGTGATGCTAACCCAGTAGCTAACTTCACCTGGTACAAGAAGAACAAAGATTCAGACTCTCAACCTTTCAGTAAAGGAGCTCAGCTGGTCTTCAGCTCCATCCAGTCCTCTGACTCTGGAGAGTTTTACTGTGAAGCTGAGAACCAGCTGGGAAAGAGGAGATCAGAGCCCTTCATCCTCGATGTGAAAGTTATGAAGTCACGTGAGTCATAAATGATCAAAAATCTTCATCTGTCCTGTCTGCAGCTTTTATACTCAAAATTAACAGCTAGCTTCATTCACTGAGCATCTACACAGAGACTGTGTAGCACCTTTAGACTGATCAGAAGAACACTACGACACCTACAATCTCTCTAGGCCCTGCTGCTTTTCTTTGTGTTTTAGCAAAGTGAGAATTCAGATCTCAAGTTAACTGACTTCAAAACAAGAACACGACTAAAGTGTGAGATACATGAAAGTCAGAACAGGCATGATTCTCAGTCTATTAAACATATTTGTTTTTAATTCCAGGTCACTCATTGACAACAATGAATATCTTCAGGTTGATTCTGGTGCTCTTGGTTCTGATTCCTCTGTGTTTCCTGATCCTGACAGTTTGGTAACATTTAGAAAAGTGAAGCCCGTCACATCTCTTTGGTTTCTCTCTCTGAACTCACCATCATCTCAGTATCTTTTATTTCATTTAAGGAGGAAGTCCACCACTGAGCCACCAGGTAAATCTGCAGACGAACCTGCAGAGACCGTAGAGGTGAGACAGTTTCATTAATCAAGACTTTGTAAACGAATGAAGATGTTTATTATGATATGATAAGTGATGTAGCTCAACTGGACTCCAAGTAGGTCAAAGTTTCTCTCTCTCATAGGAGAGAGTTTCTGTGACAAAATAGATTCTTGATCAGATCTCATCCTTTGTCATCAGCTAACCTCCACTCCTGTGCATGAGGACCTTCCTGTCGTCATGGATACGCAGACAGAAGACAGGGTGGAGCAGGAGGACAGAGTGTGAGGTGAGGTTCAGTCAGGTCAGAGGCTCCTCAGATCGGGTTCATGGTCCGAGTCTCCAAGTTTAAAGCAGAACTCTTTTTTTACTCTCTTTACTTCAGATACAGTTGATCCAGAAGGAGGGTTCACTGTGGACAGCGAGGCTTTAGAGGATGTGGAAATACGTCCCTGAATGCATCATGTATTTCCTGTAGAGTTCTGATTTATGTACTTTAGATTATGAAAAGAGCTCAGCGTTTAGAGGCTACACCTCGCTCAATGTGAGAATGTCAAGCTTGTCTGCGGCTGAATCAACAAGACGAGGTCGACTGGAAAAATGATGGAAACTGTGCAAAAAAAAAAAAAAACAATTAAAAAAATAAATAAAGGTAAGACTTAAAACACAAGTCTAAAAATCTACCAAAGTAACTATATTTTTAAATTTGATTTTAATTTATAATAAAGATTCTGAAGCAGAGTGTTTTTAAAGTTATATTTGAAGTTCATAATTATCTATCAGATAAAATAAAAAAACCCAGTTACTTTCATGTGTTATGAAAGATGATTTTAGAAACTGTAATAGAAACCAGAGTCTTAAGAACAACCAGCAGGTGGCAGCCTTTCACTTTTTATATTCTTATTGTTGGGTTATATCTGTCCCAAAACTGCAAATGTATAACTGTATAAATGAAAGCTTTTATTTTATTTTTTTTACAAATCTCCAAGTTTTACAAACATTTTCAATGTTAAAATTAAATACAAAAATAATAAATATTTCATATAACATTGAACTGAAATAAAACACAAAAATAAAATTTTGTACAATCTACCGGTCTTTTTTGAGCGCGTATAATCTGTTACTTGGTACAGAAGTACGGAGGATTGTTGTATTCACTGGATTTAAAAAAATCAGACACTTTATTTCGACATTAAAAGGTTTTTTTGTTTTGTTATAGTGAGTATGTTAGGGTGACTAAAGATCCTGTTTTCACGTCCTGTCCTGGCCGTCCTGTTTGTTTTTTTATAAATTGATGAAAATGTCCTGGTTTTGTTTTTCACTGGACCAACAAGATAAAGGAGAAAACTAAAGATATAGATATATTTTATTTGTTTCTAATTTAGTTTTGTTTGAGAGAGCTATTTTTGTTCAAGTCAAATTGCCAATGTAGCAAATATATTTTTTAGTATTTTTTTATTATTATTATTATTATTTTTTTTTTTAAATACAAAAGAGACATTATTTCTGTCATTATTTCATTACTTTTCTTTTTTAAACTTGTCAAAATAAAAGATGTTGAGTAACCTCTTAGAACCCTCTCTGGATTTGTGTCTTTGGTTAGAAATTGTATTTGATTATATAACATTTTTTTATCCATAAAGAGGAGGCAGACTTTAAATTTACTGAAATTATAAACCATCTTTGAGTCAACTTCCCGTATCGTCTGAGTGAGTATCTCACTGCCGGGCCGAGTGTCCTCGTTAAAATATGGTCACCCTAGTGTATGTACCTTGTGCATATTCATTATTACAGTTATATTTATATCACATGTCTCATCATATTTTTATTTCATAATCCTAACTTGAGGATCAACCTGCTCAAATGTCCGTGTACATAAACTGTCCTGTATCTGTGCAGATCTATCACAACTATCTCTGTGTGCTTCTGTATTTATGTCACACAGAGTTAAACCTGCAGTCGTCCTGAGATGGTTGCACTTCATCATCTTTGATTTCCTTTTCATGAAATGCATTTGTTTAAATTTGAGAGGAAAAAGACCTTCAGTTTATGAGACTCTTGAACTCTCCTCATTCAGACAGAAGATGGCGGTGTAGCGCTGTGAAAGAAAGTCTCTGCAGGTTTCTCTGAGTAATAACTTTTATAGATGATTTTAAAAAATGATGACAACAAACACAAAAACAGTTTCCCAGGATCCTTTTGGTTCTCTGACACAGCAGCAGACTCTAAACTGTGATGGGAGTCCCAGGGTTAGAGTTCAAAGGTCACCGTAAGGGTGTTGGGGCGAGAACAATGTTTCTCTGCATCAGTCAGACATGCGCCAATATCGATAAAAACTCAAAATACGTGATGAGAAATAAAAGTGAAATGAATCACAGTGGAATTTAGGGCCTGCACAGAAATAGAAATGTTGAATATAACATTTACAGATCATAACTTTTGCTTTTGGAGGCTTTTCAGACACGAGTAATATTGTAGATGATTCCAATATACTTGATACAAAATCAAGTTCGTACATTTAGAAACGAACAAAACACAAGAAGTAAACAGTGTCGCCTTAAATCAAAACGGATGAAGTAATCTAGTATCCATGCACTCTGGTTAGACAGGCTATAGTTTATACTTTCAGAGTTATTTAGTGATATGAATGCACTCTCAAATGTTCACTGACGTCACATCAGGATGGCGTTCAGCAGAAACTTGTCTCAGGTCCCGTCAGCGTCCGTTCATCAGGCCGACATGCTGAATGGATGTCAGTGTGTGTGTGACCTGATGAAAGAGAAGCTCTCACTCCCTTTCTGATTCCCCTCCTTCCTCCTTCCTGCCATCTCATTCCCCACCGTCGCCAAGGCGACCTGCAAAACAGCATCCCAGCTGTGTGCGTCTGAGAGGAATGCGTTCCCAGAGGAGGCTGACATTTGCCACTCAGTAATGTAAATATAAGTGAAAGTAATGGTCCTCTTACAGAACTTTAAACACTCCACACCAGCTGACTCACACACAGAGGGCGTCTGTGTGTGAAAACACAATATCAGAGTTAATGCTCACACACACTTCTGATATATGAGTCCATACATAATGTCCCCGCTTCGTCTTCTTCTTCTTCTGTGGTCATTCTTCGCTTTTTAATCCCTCAGACTGTGGAGATGGAGGGTCTGAGGTCAAGTCATCTCATCAGTGGGAGGTGGGGCAAGGGTGTCAATCTTCACACAGCTACTTATGCTCCTCACACACACACACACACACACACACACACACACACACACACACCAGCGTGTTGTCAAGTTTGGCTCTCTGAGTAAGGTCACGCAGTCTTTCACTATTTTGCTGCATGAGCCTGATTGGATAAAACCAAAGCAGCGCCTCCTCTGAGTAGAGCCGCGTGGTTCTGGTTCTGAGTTTGAGTTTGTCTTGACTTCAGGAAAAACACGCTGCAAAGACAGTTGTTGGAAACCTATCTGCTTTTTCTCGATTGAGTTATAGGAACTTTCTTTTTTGGTTCCTGACTCATGCAGAGGAGGAACTCTCCAAACATATGAGAGACTTTGAACGATGGAGGTGAAATCTGATTGGTTCATAAGTGAGTTGGTCAAACAGGAAAACCACTTCAGGATCACCAACTGCCGTTTTTAAATACTACTAAAATATCCGTAAATATGAGATTCTTATGAAAGAGGATAAGGTTCACATGAAGAGAGGAAAATTATTACAGGAAGGAGATTAAAGTTCAAATTTTGAGGTTAAAAAATCGAAATTTTGTCAATAAAGTCCAAATTTTGAGATTAAAGTCGAAATTTTGAGATTACATAAAGTCAAACCAAAATTTCAAGATTAATTACTTGAAATTTTGATTTTATTCATGTAATTTCAATTTTTTTGATCTCGAAATTTCGACTTTGATCTTGAAACTTCGACTTTAATTTCCAAATTTTTATTTTTTTTCATTTGGCTTTTTAAAGTTTTGACTTCAATCTCGAATCTCGATTTTTTTCAATTAATTTTTTTTAAATTTCGACTTTAATCTCAAAATTTAGATTTTTTTATTCGACTATTTTAAATTTTGTGTTTTCGACTTTAGTCTTGAAATGGAAATAAAAATATATATATATTTCTCTCCTCGTGGTCCTAATCCTCTTTTGTAGATTCTGCATTTTATTAAAATAAATATGTTTTTTTCCCTGTGATCGTGGATCATGAAGTGTTTTTTCTCTCTAATTTAATTTGCTCACAGTATAAACTGAAAATATACACGACTCTTAATTTTCTGTACCTGAGAAAAGGAAAACATCCGAGAAGAGGAATGCTAATGTTCCCCATAGTCCCCCATCACTCACACTCCTGGGCGTTATGACTTGAAGAGGCGGGACTTATTTGATTTTCCTCCAATGACAACCCGTCATCTGTCTCAGTGACATTTTCCTGACGTGAGCAAACATCAGAGCTGCAGAGAGACAGAAAACATGAAGCTGTTTTGTTTCCAGCTTTTTCACAACAAGAAGAGACTGAAGGTCTGACATTCATGTTTCAGAAACACACAGCTGCAGATATCAGAGTGTCTTTCAACAGCAGAGAGAGAGAGAGAGAGAGAGAGAGAGAGAGAGAGAGAGAGAGAGAGAGAGAGCAGAAGTCAGACTGTGTCCAGGATGACACTCCACACTCCTCTCTGTTATGGAGATGAAGCAGCTGTTATGGTTACAGACTGTGCTTCTGAATTACTGAATGGTCTCACAGTATCTGTGTGTGTGTGTGTGTGTGTGTGTGTGTGTGTGTGTGTGTGTGTGTGTGTGTGTGTGTGTGTGTGTGTGTGTGTGTGTGTGTGTGTGTGATAAATGTGAGCTGGTCTGCAGAGAGGGGCAGCAAACCATTCAAGAGAACTGAGGAACACCTCTGAGACATATCTGAACCTTTGGAGGAGGATTTTCTGACCAGAAGGGGGCAGTGCAGCAAGCTGTAAACACCATCATCAAAAGTAGAATTGTCTTTTCGCCGTCCGCCAATTCCTACTGGATCCGTTTGTGAAGCCAATTTCGTGGCGGATTACGGACAGCAGGAATCGCGAGAACTCGCAAGATCCCGCGGATTCATGTGCAATCGTGCGATAACAAGTTGTCTTTAGCCACAGAGGCTAACCATATTAGCAGTAGATTGTGTCCTTCCAGAGGAGGAAATCTACTTCTAGACTTCTAGAATCAGCATCTCCTCATCCATGGTGTCATCGGGGTGAAATGACGTCTAAAAACCTTTCACTTGTTCGTCTCCGCCCGTTTGCATGGTGAGAAATACGATCCTCCTGAAACCCGGAGTGTTTTATTTTGAAAAGAAGCCGGATGTTTTATTTTGTGTCTGTGGCAGAGCTTGGCAGATCTGAATCCTCGTTAATCAAAATCCATTTTCATCGTCTCCAACAAACCTTAAAATTGCACCTTGTTCCTCATTAACTTCCTCGGTAGCTTCAGTGAAAACACGTCTTGAAACGCAGCTGATAAAGCCGAAAGTCTTCATCAGACCAGCTGAATGAAATGTTTTGATTTATCTCGTTATGTACGGATAATTTCCCATGATCACTGTTGTTGTATGTGAACTATTTGATCAGATACTGTTTCCTAACGACTGCATGTAGGTGGTC